TTTGATGACTAAGTATAAATTACTTTTACTTTTCATCAAAGACTGTTTTTACAATGCTGGTAAAACTATACTTATCAGAGTGATGTAATTCCGTGGTTAGTTCCATGATGGTTAATATGGTTAAATATACCGAAATCATTCTTTGTGAAGGTTAGAAGTTGTACATATAACTCAAATCGGACAGCTGATGCCTGTCGACACATTTATAACGGTACAAGTATTAAGTGGTTCGATAACTTATCACTTGAAGATTACAGACACTGCAAATATCAGCTAAATATTGAATACTAAATAGTACAGCATTGTTTCCCTTATTCATACAAGATAAATTTATCTGGCCTTAACTGACTTTCACAGCGGTTATTTTTCTATTTAGGGTTAGTTTAACTTTTTCAGAAGAATTTAATAAATATACATAGTGAGTTCATTTAAGAATTTATTTATTTTGCAATACGATAAAATTTTTAATTTCATTAATTACAAAAGTATCAGATTCTCTCTAATTTGAACTAAGATAAAAAATAACACAACATATCACAATGGAGTGGATCCCATGCTGTTAAGCATCCCATTGAATATAATATAGGGACAGCTGTTAAAAAATATTTTATTAGTTACAGGATTTCATCATGAGCTAACATAGGTTTGAGAACTCTTGGGAAACTAAAGAGTACTAGTGGTGGTCGCGTTATGTTGTCAATTGGCGTGAGTTAGAATTGAAGGACTGGTCATTAGCTTTATGGTCTACGAGTTCACTTGCCTTGTGAGTTGAAGGTCCCAGGTTCGAACCCTGACGGGTGTGTGCTGCTGAAGAGTCTCAAGCTAGGCTGACAAGACAGCTGTCCAGTACACTCTGCAGGTTTTCCAATGGTTCTCTAAGTGATGTCAGCTCATGATGAAGTCCTGTAACTCATCAGTCAAATGCCTAAAAACCAATACTTAAATATTTTATTAACTAATTTCTGACCATAAAATATGATACAAATAGTCTTAAAGTTTCAAGTTGATAAATAAGGTCGCGAAACACTGTATTTCTTCCTAGTGAAATTTTATCTGCTATCAGTTTAATCATGAACTTACTGTTTGTATTTGACATTGTCAAAGTAGATTCTTTACGCAGAACAGAAAGTAAAATAAAAAAATAATGAAAGTTATATTTAGAAAGATATTTCCTTCTAATAAACTTATAACGTCTGCCACACAACACTGTACAAACTGTTTGACTGAACATCTAGGTTATCAAGTCGATTTTCATAAATGAAAGAAATAGATTAATGAAAATTAGTTAAGTGTTAGGCAATTCAAGAGGAACGAGTGGTAAAATATGAGAAGACTCAATAAGTGGTGACACCATCATTGCTAATATCAGATTAGGATGGGTGAAAGTAGTTACTGAATTTTTATCTAAACACTAATTGAGCCATTCGTCCCTGTCAGCCTTTTTACAAAATTCTGGAGGCTGTTTCAAGTTCAGTTCACTGAATTCTTTGTCGATAAAGTTAATTTCTATCAGCTTTCTATTATTTACAAAGATGTTGGTTTTTTACCATAACCTGACAAAGTTTTATGCTCTAATTGTTTTTTCAAAACATTTATTCGTTTGTATACCAGCTTTCATTTTAAAAAAGATCTATTATTTTTGCCTACTCCCGAATGTTCGGAGCTACACCGTCAGTCATTCCATCCATGATGAATGCTCATGAATGAAGTTACTTTGAAAACCCTAAAATGCTCTTTCGTAGCTTATTAAAAGAACTCATAACATCATATGAACAATAACAAAGCTTATAATGCTGTACATCGTAAAATTAGAGCAAGGTACATCTACTTAACCTAGCCGAGTGCATGGCAAGGTTATCAGCAATGTAGGAGCTATCTATTCAGACAGAATAAATTCAGACATTTTCTTTCCTTTAGCCGTAAATAAGCTAAATAACTTGATGTCCTTCCCAATTTTTTTTGTCTTCTTCCTCGGTGTAGCCATTAGGATATTCCAGTCACCAGTGTCTGTATACAGCATTTGTAGCTCTTTCTAAAATTGTTATCAAGGTTATCATATATCTCGAAACGACATCACCAACATGCTACTATCTGTGTACAGCTTTTCTATTACTCACTTTACATTTGCGTTTCATTAGTTTGGCATGATGATCACATTATGACGAATGATTTACCCCAGTCTTATTAGCCGTTAATGTTGGTTCGTAAGTGCTTGTCTTGTTTCAACATAGTTTCTGCCTTAAACTGACACCAGTTAGAGTTCCGCATTAGAACAAATAAACCCTACATGATCTCATGGTTTTTGGAGATTCTATAAGTGACTTTAGCTTGTCACAAAACGACACTGTGGTCAATAGCTACTGTTTAATGCACAAAAGTTTTATTTCAGTTGAATTGACGAAATTATAACGCAGATTTATCAGTTACTAACGTTCAAATGGTACTCTTCTTATCTAATGGAATTTCTTTTCCAGTGTATTCAGATACATTCGTTTTCAAACCAACTTAAGTTACTTAAAAGCATATTCTAAGCAATTTCTTTTACTTCCAGCATCTCTCGGTATTTGACATCAGGTTACATTTTCAAGAACGTTACAGTCTCTTTGTACAAATGTTTAGAAAAACTTTTTAGGTTGCACGCGGCTGACAAAACACCGATGAAATGAAATAATATCTTTTTGTTCTTCTCAAACCCTTTATTTAGACAAATTTTTTTGCATTTGTTGTTGACATGATACTGTTTCAACCTTAAGATAAACTACTTATTCCTGTTTTTCTAAATTTAATAATTCATCACCAGCCTCGCAATAATAATAATACTAATAACAATAAAGTAGTATCTATTACATTAGACATATATATCTGCTTGTTAATATAGAGCCCATAGGAGAATTTTATTTAGAAGTTTCTATTCGAAATGCCTGGCTAATAATGATGATTGTTAAAGGCAATCAGCATGAAGCTTCACTCCTATGTTTTGTGCTTTTCTGCACTCGTCAGTAAGAAATATCTGCTATCTTCAAGGAGCTCATATCTTTTCTGAGATTCGAACCCACTTCACTTAGAGACGCTACCACTGAGCTATTTGTGTTCGCCACTGACCACCTGTAGGACTGTATTGAATGCTTTCGTCGGACACTGTGTACTAACTAATGTCTTTCGTCTTGTCCTTGGTGTTGCTGCATGTTGAATCCCATCAGTCCAGTTTGATAACTGTGAAAATCTCAGAAGGATTTACTCTTCAGAATAATTCTTCTAAATACTAACTTTGAACATTGATTTACCGGTGAATAATTTCAGTTCCTGTCTAACTCTCATACTGTTTATTGCCTGTTTTTTGTGTTGTTCAGTTACATACATTATTTATTATGATACAGCATGGATTAAAGGCTCAAAAGTGGACTGTTCTCTTCATCTGTTCATAAACGATAAAAGATGCTTACTTCTCACAAGTGTGTGTGTCAGTTAATATTTTGATACTGTCGTACATCTTGCTACCTGATTTATATTCCACATACATTTGACTATTACTCCCTTGTTTTACATAAAGTAGCAGCCTTGAAACCATAAGTGCCATCTCAACCACGTTAACCATTTCTAAATCAACCATCTGATTGTGTCCTTTTTTCTTGTGCCAAAAAAGATATTTAAAGATATCAAGCCGATTGATGGTATCTTCATAACTTGTAGCGATAATGTGATCTTGTACACAAATTACACATTCTAATTAGCGCGCCACGTAACACGCTGATATCAAATTATCTCCTATAAAAAGGACGAACAATTAATTTACATGTTATTTGTTCAGCGTATCACATAAATATCGTAGCTTGTAACGACTCTATAACAGAGTCATTGGTTTTTCAACAGTGATTAACTTCAAAGCGAAATTAACTTCATAATTATATAATAGTAATAAAGCTTTCATGCAGTCTGGAAGAAAAGAGGATGACAGATAACTGAGGGACAGATAAGTAGGAGGATTGTTAACAATCTCTCTGAATTCACTGGTGAATAAGCAGACCATATTACCCTGCCCATGACATTTATGTACATGAGTCAGACAGCAAGTTCGAAAATCTGAGAATCTAAATATAAGATAATCACATTTTGGCAATAAATATTTTTTAAGATAATACTAGTCAGCAAAAAGAGATCCTTTTGTAATTTGTCTTCAAAATCATACAGTTTAGTAAGTTAGTATATATGCACAACGCTGATCAACAACAGGGACCAGGGGTTATCGTGAGCTAGTAACACAACAAATCAAAGTGTATGGAAAATAATATTGTTTGAAAAATTGTGAATAGTTTTACCTCATCAGGCGGATTGACAATTAAACTGTTTCGTGATAAATGATCATTTAGAAATGACTGATTTAAAACAAGAGTATAAAGAACTGGTAAAGAGTTACACAAAAATAAATTACAAAGAACTATACAGATTATTTCATGCAGCCATTCAAGAAAACGAAAGTTGACACTAAGGGATTGGTAGTAAAAGAGAATGGATAAAGCCTTTTTGAGCACAAAGTTCAGATTTTTCCTTATAGATCACTAAAGCTTTAGCTTTATGAAGAAGATTCAGACGAAATCCTTTTTGAACAACTTGACAGTACCATATATGAGACGTTGATCAAAGTCTCTGCTGATTCTGAGTGACCAGAAGTCACAATGTACTACAGAAGTGAGCTGCTGAATCTTATCTATTATCCTTTTGGAAATCATGCTGGTAAGTGTCCACGGGCGCGTTCAGATAATGTCCTGCTGTTAAGAAATGTAAGCAATCCACACACATTAAGCAAATACTGACATAAAGCATCTATACACGTTGTTCATAATTAATCTTATTCGGTCCTAAACTAATTACTTGTGCAAGTATCTTGGTTAATTTATTTTCTCGATGTAATTTGCTGTGTAAATCCTCAAATCTTTTTTGTTAAATACCATATTTCAAAGTGTAAATAGCATATGTATTCTTCATTTTCTTAACTTTCACAGATAAATGATGTCAGCGTTGTCCTCGGTTCAGTTATATCAAGGCGTGAGATGCTGGAGCAGTCAAAAACTGCAGCGAAAATTTTATTCCCTTCTTGTGTAAGTCTGGGGAATTCATTTTTAGGATAACTTGTAATTGTGATAATATAATTAAATACGGCTTCGAAGATCTGATTAATCTGGGAGTTTAGAAGTGGATAGTATGTTCAAAGATACGAATCACTGGGACTTCTATAGTTGTATCATAAAAATTATAAAGCCTGTTTCATAAGTTTCAGGAAGCTCTTCACATTCCGAAGTATATGTTGAAACTGTTGATAGTCATAATCTGTGATGAAAACGAATAGGATGAATTTGTATAAATATTTGTCTGTATACTCATAGCAGATTTATATAATACATAAGAATATTAAGACAACCATCAACAACATGACGTATATGACGAAAATGTTAACGATTGGTGTGACCTTTTTAATTTGAATTATATAATGGAGAAGATTACAGTTAATCTATGTCTGCTAAATAATTAGATCTGAAAAACTAAATGAAGAATTTTCATGCATAAGAAAAGTGAATGAACCATCAGGAAACGTTTTGTGCTATAACAGCGTAAATGATGGACTGAACTTCAAAAAGACAAAAATTAATTAATAGTTTTCGTATCAACTTACTTTTGGGTAAGGGAGCTGGCATTTAAATTGCATAATAACTGAGGAGATGAGAGAATGCTAACGTTTACAGAAATTACGACGTATAATAACTCAGTGCACTGAAAATGAACTCAGAGATTGCGGCAGATGTCCTCACGCCATTGCTGCAAAAGGTTTGGAGAGAAGGAAATGTACCTACCGAATGGATGAAAGGCTACTTCATCAAGCTGCCAAAGAAGAGTGACTAAGAGCTCTGCAATACTAATTCACGTCATCCTGGAGAGAATGCAAGATGCATTGGATACAGAACTCCACCTTCCGGAACAAGCTAGATTAAGGAAAGGCAAATCATGTGCTGATCAAATTGCTACTCTACGTATCGTCATCGAACAAAGCATAAGAGTGTAGTCAAACGTCTATCTCAAATTCATCGACTTCTAAAAGGACTTCGACAGCGTAGACCTAGAAGTAATTTGGAAACTAATTCATCACTGCGGTGTGCAGTGATCAAGTCTTTACCAACCTCGTTCAGTAGCTCGCTATGACAATGCTACGTGACATCGCGCGTCAGATTCTCAATCTAGTGAAATCTGAATAGGAACGATGAATTGATCGTCGGTGCGAGGATGTAATAAAGGAGATTTCGCGAGGAGAAGAGTGATCGTGAACAACCGTGAACCCAGATGAAGATGACAGTAGAAAAAAGAACGAAGTGAAGATGTATTGTTGAAGCCCCATTTTTTTCACTCGGAACCTTAGGGAATAACAATTATTGCTCAGGTTCTTCTACCTACAACTCTTACAGTATTTATACTGTGTAGATCAAAGACAAACCAAAAGACTTAATTGATAGTCAGAATATATTTCTGGATCGAAACCTTAGTGCGAGAGTTATTGCTAAATAAGCTAGGCATCGTGCGTGGGAGAACGAACGTAGGACAACGGCGTGAAAAATGGTGTGGATGCTTGACTGCGAGTCTTCACCCAAACGAGTCGACTTAAACAGTGAAGAACAGCATTTATTCTCACATTCTCGAAAACACAAATTGACTTCGGCTTTGGTAACATAAGATTCTAATACTATTTGAGTATATTTGCCTATTTGTTATATTGATAAAAACATTAAGAACTGCAGTAAGTGTTACTATAAATTACTTTTCTGTCGAAATTTACACTAGGCTCAGGCAGACACTTTGTATCAATCCTAACCATGCACACAAGTACATATTTATATTCTAACAGTTATCAAAAGTCTTTGTATTTGTAAGACGATATAAAATATCTGTTGAAACGATGTGTATTATGACAGCGCATAATTACGCTGTCACATTTCATATCCCATCAAGTTTTCGATGTTATTATTTTCTTTTTTTCTCAGTGGATAGCTGAGTTGGTTATTTCAAATCGACATCAGCCATCAATCAATTGTCCTTTAGAAGTACTTATGCGCGAAATCAGGTAAGAAAATTGATTTCATCTAAACTTAAACTTCTCTAAAGAAAAAAATATAACTCATTCTAAATTTATTAAGGTTTTATGCATTTCCAGCTTAGGCGAATTTCAAAGATGTATGTTCAGACGAAAACGGAATCGAATGACCTAATTTGATGTATTTAGTGATATGTCTGCGTAAATGTTGACTTCCGCAAAATTAAAATACAATAAAAATTCAAATTCATTGTTAGCGTAGTTAATAAATATCAAACTAAACACCAATTATATATTTATATGTTAAACTTCTGAGTGAATGATGTGAAAGCTTACTACTACTACTACTACTACTACTTTGCAAGTTTTGCTCCTATAAAACTCGGTATTACATCAAAAACCTGCTGTGTTCCAGAAATCACTTAAAAAGAATGATATTTTTTTATTAAGAGTATCCTTAGTAGACAGACTGACTAAAATATATATATATATATATGCAAAACTCAAGCACTGTGGTAGTATGTAATGTAGTTTGCCTTTTGGATATATCAGGATGTGAAACAGTATAATTTACCAGATAACATTTGATGTGGTTGTATTCTTTGAGCTGGACTGTTTACTTACGAAGCTTTCATTGCCCTTCTGGGCAACACCTTTAGTGCATACTTCAATTTGAAGTGAGCTTTCATATTTCTCCACGAGTTTATTAGTCATCAGGTTCAAGCTCACCAGAAGAGATGACTAATAAACTCGTGTAGACATCTCAAAGCTCGCTTCATATTGAGGCATGCACTGAAGATGTTGCCTAGTAGGGCAATGAAAGTTTCTCAAATTAACTACTCAGCTTAGAGAACACAACCCCATCAAAATCATCCACCTTAGCTACAAATCTTCTTTATATTACCAGATAACATTTCAAACACAATTTATTATTCACAATCATATCAGCTATATATATACACAGCTTTGAAACTTGAGCTTTTGTGTTTCAGATTATTTCTTCTGATTTGTTATTGAGACCGTTATTTTCATGATGTTCAGGATGTCCCATTGAAAAGTTGCATTTAAGTCCATAAACTCACTTAGAAAGAAGTTATGTCGGTTGACGAATCCGGTGGGTCTCATAAAAGAAAATAGGTAATTTATCCAATACCCTTCAGTGATTTTTAGGTCAAATACGTAGGTCAGAGTAGCAGAATGGGGTCAATTAGATTGGCTGACTACAAAAACTTTTCATAATCTGGAAAATATTTCATCTGTAGTACTACATGCAATAACTGGAAACCATCTAATAGGATAATGCAAAGTTACAAAACTAAAACCTAATGTAACAGGGTGGAAGAAGAGATTGTTAACGGAAGTCTTATTTATCAAATCATTCAGGAACATGTGCAATAGGAATGATTCAACGCCCATCCAGGACATCAGGAGTATTCTGATATTCCTAAGAGAAATGGGAGTGAATAAATAGAACTATAAAAATTAAGTTTCGAAGTTCTGTAATTATAATTGATGTGATTATGAATAATAAATTGTGTTCACAGTGTCAGTCAGTAAGCTGACGTTAGTATATATATCTATGTGCGTCGTTGTTTCAGTGGTAGAAAGTTCGCCAACCACTCACGTATTCCGGGGTTCGACTCTCAGCCGATGCACTCCTTAACCTCACTAAGCCCATTGTAAGGGAAAGTTGGGCGTGGGGTTAACGTTCTCACCCCATAAGAAGAAAACCGTTACTATCGAAACTTCTGAACTCCAGCTTGAAGTCTTATGTTCTATTGGAAACGTTAAGGAATAATATATTGAATAATATATACTGAATATAATATAGTGAATAAAGTTAATGTAAGATAAAGTACCCTCGGAAATAATATTAGTGAATTCAGTAGACTAAGGTAGGAAATCAGATGGTTTTACAATAAAATAAATAACTTGTTAGAATGTTATAATGTAAAAATTGAAATATATTTCAACATTATTTATTATCCTCTGAGCTGACTGGTAATAATATCTTCCATATCTCCGGCATTTGCATTGAGTCACTTCCGTTGCATATGTTGGGCGTAGACTCGATGAACAAGGATTCAGTAATCAACCACCTCTCACTATCTCCATCTACCTATATTACTTTTCGGAATTTTGACTCTGTCTCACCCACCTTATTGTATGGTTGGGTGTTAATGCATGCAATGCGATTGCTGAGTTTTTTTCTAAATTACTTTACTTCGTGATGTCAGTCATTCTAACCTCAGCTAAATTCTTATGTTCTGATAATCTGACTACCCCCGACCTGCTTACTAGTTTGACCTATGTAGCTGACCTCACTGTTATTGCAGGGTATTTTGTATATTACATCATTTTGTTTAATTGGTTCACCTGGGTCCTATAGCATACTGAGCTTGTCTGTGAGTGGGTTTGTAGGTTTGAGTGCCACCCTAATACCTGCTTTACTGAGACTGAGAATCCTATGTAGAGTTTCAGATATCTCAGATTTCAGTAGCTTAATATGATTATGAGTGGCAACAATTTGTGCTCGAAACATCATCAGTAAATATTACTGTATAACACTGTGTGTTTGATTTTTCACACACTTTAACCTAACGTGGTTGTGATAGCTTTATCCTGTAAGTATTGATGATTCTTTTCCTGATATCTCTTAAGACGACAGGTATCATTAACAATTCACTAGTGATATGATAGAGAAGATTTGTAGCTCAGGTGGATGATTTTGATGTGGTTTTGTTCTCTGAGCTGGATGGTTAGTTTGCAAATTGAAGTATGCGCTGAAGATGTCACCCAGTAAGGTGATGAAAGCTTCGCAAACTAACCATCCAGCTCAGAGAACAAAACCACATCAAAATTCACTAGTGAATTTTTAAAAATTATATTATGGGTTACGTCGATACCACAGCTTAGATATTACCATATGCATTCGAAGCTTTAAAATGTATAGATATGATAGAGAAGATGCGTAGCTCAGGTAGATGATTTTGTTGTGGTTGTGTTCTCTGAGCTGGATAGTTAACTATCCAGCTTTAAAATGTATTCATCATTCTATTGTATCATTATGATTAGTGGCAAGAGTATATCAAAGTCAAATTATTCAGCTAATATAAATCCCTGAAACCAGTCACAATTCACTTTTGAAAATCATCCAGGAAACCACTTCAGGGACTTTGTTTTTACTGTGGTAACCAGCTTTCTTAAAAAGATGTAAAAGTCTGCTATCCGGTTTAAAGTTCGTAATTCGAAAATGAATTCACTGTCTGCAAATTTTGTAGTTGGAGGTGAAGTTTTACCACAGTTTCCTTAGAAAACTGAAATAATTTTGATCAAAATATTTGATCTGCTTTAGATTATAAACTGTAATCACGAAAGTAAGCATGAGAGTATGATGCTGAATGATTGAGTTGAGCAGTCGAATATCGGTCAAATCCACCAGTGATGTTTGTTAGTTTTATCGAAGTAATTTATACACCTAAGAGTTGTTTCGATCTCATCAACAATGCCCACAGGTTTGACTCAGCTCACACAGTCAAATAGATTCAAGTTCAAAACTGTGGGGATCAACCAAGTCGCGACTAGGGGTGAGAGAAGATTAGAAAGTTCAGAATACAGCTATGCAACAACCTGAGGCGTAATGATAAATAAAATGACATAAAAAGAAGAACTAAGCCTCCAGTAATGCATCATCCAATGAGTCCAAAACATAAGAAATATTCACACTGAATGAATAGGTGTCACATTCACTTACAAAAGCAATAGGTGATTCATTAAAAGAGCACTGTGTAACTGACTTCGACCAGATGCATAGAAATTCATTTGTGTAAACAATCATAAACTGTATCTTGTTTGGTGAAAGCATTGATAATTTCTAAATGTGTATGAGCCTGTATTATTGAGCCTGTAATCAGAGAAGGTTAACACATTACTTGGAAATAAGCAGACAAAGTATATTTATGGAGGAACAATAGCAAAAAAAATCGATGAGATGTGTTTCAGATGGCATTTCCAAGCATCATATATTCAAAAGAATTGGATTTAAACTAACTTCACTTTGGTTTTAATTCAGTTAAAAATCCGGTTATATCTACAGTTTCATCTTATATAGACAGAAGACCCCTAGTTCAGTGAAAAGTCTCTTTTCCATGAATTCATTTCCACAGCTGTACAATCGCAAATATTTATGGTTATTTTGTCTGTGTGTGTACATTAAATTTGTCAAACGAAAATACAATTAGTAAGCTTTTGGTGAAGTTACATAATATGAAAAGCGTTTAAATGAATTAGATGGTGATATAAGACAGTTGTAACGAAAGTGATGAGTTGTCATAAACGATTGTTGCAGAAGAGTGACGTAATAGCATGAATAGTTTGATGAGAGAGTTGTGCTCAGTGTGTACATGGAAACAAAATAACCTACGGAATTACGCAACAGTTTTAAGTAGTTAGAAAAATAAGCACACAAGCCAAAGTTAAGTCAAACCAACAGAGTTGTTACCAAGATAGTAGAAGTGGTTGAATAATTTTCGTTTGTATGCATAGTTCTTCCAACTGAATGGCTAAGAGCTCCTGCAGTGCAAAGAAGATGAAAACGTAATGTCATTGGTAGGTTGTTCTTCATTTTGTAGATTACTTTGAAGGAGGAGGCGTTTGTTGAGATGGAATGACCGATGGTGACATGATGTTTGATAACTGCACTCCTTATATGGCCAATTCTTCCTCTCTGCAACCACTCTAGGCAGTGCTCTTTAACCCTTTTTGACAGGATGGCTCTACAGCAACTGGTGAAGTGATATATACACATGGAAGCGGTCAGGTGCAGGATCTTGTCCTTCGGTTCTCTGCAGATCACCGAGCGACCGTTTCTTAGTCAGTGTGAAATATTTTACCACAGTTTCCACCAATATTAAGTAAACAACAAAACTGGATAGGAGTTGCCTTAAATACTGAAGAAGGCGTTTAGTCATTATGACTAAATAAGAAGATGAATTCATTCTCATTCACAAAGCAGTGAATTGGATTTTTTGGGTATTCACTAAAAAGGAATATGGTATCCGGCTTCATGTTGTTAATATACAACATATGGTATCAACTAGAATAAAAACATGTCCAGGAGGAAATGGATATCTTAATCAATAAACTATATATATATATATCGCTTTAAGAGAAAATAAACTTGGTAGAAAAAAGGAAGAAGATATAAAAATAACAGCAGTCATCTGTCGCAATGTCATGCTTTAATCTATCTGCATTAATATTTACCAAAAATAAACTCTGTAATCTTTGTGAATCTACGGTATTAGGGATTTCGATAAGAAAATATTCAGTCTTAAACTACAATACGCTAACATACTCTTGTATGTTCCCTATGCTTCCCTATGCTAAATCAGCTGGATATATTTAGACATATACGTAGAAAACTAAATGAGAATTTGTTCTCCTAGAAAACTGCATGTTATTTAGTAGGCAGGTAGTATCTAAGAGTGGAATTTTGACTGTTTCAAGTTTCCTCAGTTAGTTAGTGTTTTGGACATAAGTATTTTATACAAAGTAAATACAACAACGGATAATTTCCTGTCTTTCTAAAGACTCAGTTAATTTTATATTTGAAATAAATCAAATAAAGTTTCATCTTACAAAGCCAGAATGTTACTTTAGTCTTCAATGTGGATAACTACGATTCTTCAAGATTTTTTTTCGGGCGAAGATAACTACTGCAGTTACGTCGATATATGTCTTTCGACGACTAATTGGAGTTACAGATGGTATAACAGAATCAAATCATGTCTTCTCATCTTAATTTTCTTATGGAGCTCTTTGAATATCCAGTATTTGAACAGTGTGTGAACAATGGACTACTTCGATTTATTAATTCATGCATATACAGAGGGAAGCTTGACAGGATAACTGGTCTTTCATGAGGATCAAGATTTTAGCACAGACTGAGGAACAGAGACGGAAATATAAATGGATCTTTGAACACAATGGCCTACAGTTATTTTTCAGCAGCTTTGTGGCCTTCAGCATCACTTGATTTTGAATAATATCTAGAGATTACTCGTAAAGTCAATAAGGGTAGCTGCTATAGTTTAACTTCGCCATTTTTGTTAATAAAACTAAGCATAAAGTTTCAAATACTTTTATATTTTTAAAACAGTCTTCAATAAAGTTCTTGAGTTCGTGAATAATGTTAGAAGTAAAATTAGGCCGTATTAATCTTTGTTGGCATTACAAGTGAATTTGAAGCTACGGGCGTATATTTTTCACATCACAATGTGTTAACAACCATGAATGCCTAATTGTGCATGTTCACTTCGCGTCGGTAGCACAGCAAGTAGGACTCTTACCGACCATGCACATGGTCAGGGGTTCGATCCCCTACCGGCGCACACCTGATATCAATGGTTGGCCTGCAAAATTTGGGCTAACGATATCACATGCTGAAAATTCCATACTTCTACCAAAAATACAGTGTGGTTTCAAGCGAGAAGGGAGGAACGCAGACCGTTGCTCTGCAATCCATTTGTAAAACTGCTGCACACATCATAAAGAGAGAAATTCAGATTTTCAAAACAAGTGACAAGTCAGTTCTTCTTTGCGAGTAAAAGATTTTGCGCGTCATCGAGAACACTCACAAAATGCTGCTTTCACTCCATTCTGATGATGAAATGACCGACGACCTACCAGCAAAGATCAGCAACAACAGACTCTGTAGACTAACAAATCACAAACTTTTCGCTCTAAGAATATCCCAAAAAAGTGTGGTTCGATCAAATACACACTGAGAAGACCACCAAGCGCCGTCTCGAGTAATCTAGCCTTTCAGGGAGAACCCAAAAGGAAAGTGAAGAGTTCATTGGTGTCCCGAAGTTGATATGGCGGAGATCGTGTGAAGAGGAGATAACAGCCTATGCAAAATCCTGGAGCCAGCTTAAAGGAAATTCAGTAAACAGGATGAAACAGAAATGAATTGCTGAAGAAACCAAACCCAGTGTTATATTTATACTTGTATGCAATAGTCATTTGAGTCTTTGAAATACAAATTCTCATTAAAAATAATGATCTTTGTAAACGGCGAAGTAACAAACTTTTGTTTTTTCTCTGTCATATTTACTCCAAGAAGCCCCAAACATTTATGGTTGGAAACGAATAAACTAGATTTCCCACTGTGTAAAACTCCCTTCCATATCAACGTTGATCTGAATGAAGGATAATTTCTCAATCAGTTCTATTCAGGCTGTAATACTGCAAAATAAAATAAAGCTATTTATGCGTAGGATGCTATTTTTTAATTAGAATTCTAATAATGTTAAAATTATTTTATAACTATAGTAATATAAACAGAATCTCTCGATAAGAATAAATCTGAGTAGTATGTTATTCTACAATTTTTAGATAGATATTTCATGCATATTAAACAGGTGACACATGTTTTTCCAAAACATTTAATTGCATTTAATTTTGTAGTCTTAACAAAAAAAGCTTAATTACGAATCAGTTTCATGGCCAGATGAATAACAATGTAATATACAAGTCGTACAAACTATTTGGATTTTATTCCAACCAAATTCGTAACTCACATTTTAAACCATACTCATGACCTTGAAGATAACAGGTTTTGATGAATTAAAACAAAGATAATACTTAAAATGCTCATATATATGAGACTTTGAAGACAGACTCATTATGTATTCTAGGATAAATTTTAATAATTGTAGTATGATGATTAATGAGCACATGAATAATTTATTCGGTGTAGATTCAACCTATTCATTTCATCCATAAACTTAATTGTTGCGGCATAAATGAAAGTAGTTCATAAATATTTGACATCAATAGTAATAGTTGTATATATGAGTGTAGGTTGAATGTAATAAAGTAAATGTGCCACAAACATTGAATACTTTCATTCAATCACCTATACGAAAGAATAAAATTTCCATTCTTTTTTAATGTATTAAGGTATGATTGAGGACCAACTCGGTAAATACGCGGTCACCTTTCATAACACTTAGATAAATTACTGGAAATTCACCATAAAAGTTATTATTTAGATGACCTTAGTTAATTTATCTAGTCAATAACTTTGATTTGTATGTTATGACCTTATAATTAACGAAAAGACAGGAATAGTAATATGCTATTCGAGTGTTTATGAACTCATACTATTTAACTCTCAGTCATCCAGCCACTTTTAATGTCACTATATAGTGGTGTTAGAAGATAACTCTTTCTGTTTCGTATTTAATAAAATAGAACATTTGAAATCTTGTCTGTACAGATATACTCCCTTAATTGCATGTTTGCTTTCGGAAAGGTTTAAACAAAATGCACTAAGCATTATATATATATATATATATTTATTTGATTTACAGCTTGATTCCACACTGTATTTTCGGTACAGGTATGGAATTTTCAGCATGGATATCGGTAGCCCAAATTTTGCAGGCGACCATAGATATCAGATGTGCGTCGGTGCGGGCTCGAACCCCGGACCATGTGTATGGTCGGCGAGAGCCCTAACCACTGTCATGTTTTCCCAATGAAGTTATTTCTAGTAGATTTGTAGCGTTCATTGATTCAATAATACAAGATATATTAGATACTGTGCCTTATATTGAAAAGCAAAATCATTGGTTTCATGTTGTTTATACACAAGTTTTATCTTAGAGGTTATTTTCACCAAATTAGTTAGAATAAATTTTATTGTTTTCGTCTATTAGTCGTGCGCCATTCTTTACCAGTAACTGAACTCTATCCACCTTAATTACAATGTAATAAAAATTTGGTGCCTAGTTGTCGTGGTACATTTGGTAAGGTGATATGTCAAGGTATCCATTACAGTCATATTTGAGTATAAAGGATTGAGACCAACCATTCACGTGATCAGCGTTCGACTCCTTGCTGGGTAACTCTTAAATCCTGTTTATCAGGCGACAAGTCCGTTAAATAAGGAGGGCTAGGCGTCAAGTAGACTAGGATGATTTTTAATTGGTGTCTTTCTCTTTAGTCGCTATTCCGTTGCAGTAAGTAACGAATTGTATCCCTTGTTGCAGTATTTTATAGTAATCACCCTGATGATTACACGATGAATTGATTTCTTTGAGAGAATTTAGTTACTATACTAAAATGGCAATTAGAAGAAGTGCACCACATTAGATCCTTGTCAAGCTTTACATGAAATTGCATGTATTTATTTCTACTTTTTCTTAGAAATTCCTCCAAGGAAGAAATTACCATCAAAGAAGTGCCATATGATTTTGTTAAGCACTTAGCATCTGTTAGTGAACAACAAAAGCCGCCGAAATTTAATTCAAATAGTAAAACTCAACAACGTAAGTTTTGCTTACAGTTCGTCTACAAACAGTTGTCCATGAAATAGCAGTCTTTTATATTACTTTAGCATAAAATATCAATAGAATGAATACTATAATTATCACATATTTTTATTTCTTTTAATTTTTTTATTCCTTTATGTTCCTAGCAGCGCATATGGCTTCAAGCTATACGGCTGAAGTTTTGGTAACTGCTTTATTTATTTTTACAGGATGAGGTTGCCTGCCTTATGCACACCATTCCTTCCTTACCACTCTTATTATCGGCTTAGAGTGGTTTAGAGGTGCATCGGTAGGGGATCGAATTCCGGACCCCATGAATGGCTGATTTAGATTCTCCCACTGTGGCACCGAAGCACTATCGCAGATCAACTAACCATTAAATCATGATAATTAAACAGTGTGAAAATTCAACACTTCAATACATTTCTTTACTCTGAATAGGTGTGATATACCAGAAGCCCGTATTAACACTATGCTTCAGATTAGAAATGATTCAAGTCTTTAATATGCATGAACAATTGTCACAGCCGAGCTTATGTGATATGGCTTATTAGTACCTCAAATTTACATGTGTTGGAAATAATGTACTTCCTGTTATCCATGTCAACAGCTGTTTTTACCGTAAATGGCTTATCAATGTCTTCTGTGTTTACCCTTTGACTGGATTGGATAAAAGAATTAGCGAGTTCAGATCATTATTCCCTTAAATTTCAAGTGGAATGTAGGGCTTCAGCAGCACATCCCTAATCCCAATTGCTCTGTACAGTCCTCACCAGCTACCTGGAGCAATGTCTATGATGTCTTATCTTCTTCTCACACTATCCTTTCCATGTCAGTCGTGGACTCCTGAATCGTCGTTTCACACTCGGATTCCACTCAAGGACAAGAAATACACTCAGTGTCATTTAGTGGTCTTCTCAAGTCTTAAACCCAAAATGAATGGCGAAGTTTTGAGTTTGATTAGGAACTCAACTCTAAGAAATCTGTTCAATCACTACAGCAACTTCAAAACACAGGAACGTATTTAAAAATGATAAACAGGTTGTCAGGCCTTGTACAACTTTCAACAAAGTAGAAATCTATAGTTAAGCTTAAATATACTGTAATAAAAATGAGGCATCTTCAAAAGGCCTGTGGAATTTTAGGCTTGTTAACCTGATCACTTTTTTATATTCTATTCATAAATACTTTTTATCTATGTATATATATCACTCTTGACTATATTCGTTACTTTCTGAATGAAAATGAATTGAGAAAGCTAGCAGTTATTCTTATGAGTGAAATGACTTTTTTTTAATTTGTTCTGTAATTGTTTTATTTTCAGTCATATCGTTTGAGTTGGACACAGGAAATAAGCATGGTGAACATGTTGCTAATTTTGTAGTAAGTGAATTATAAGCTGTTATTAATTGAATTCTTGTTGATAAAATATTAATAAACACCTAAGTAATTTCTTAGTGAGTCATTGGAGCAGGAATTGCCTATGTGATATGGATTACTTGCACTGTTCATGTTTAGTGTATCTGAAGCGTGTGCGGGTGAAAAGAAGTCGAAATGTTCTAGCCACCAGATCACTAAAATATATATATATATTCGATAAAACTGCTTTTATGATATTAGATGGCTGGAGGCATTCGGCAGGAAGCCTTGCCTGATCTGGGTTTCGTGTAAGTTGGCACTCACCAATCAGCAAGACGTATCTGCAACCTTTAAGGAACTCCTGTACCTTCTGAAATTCGAACCCACGTCACGCAGTGCCCTAGTCAGAGATGTTACCACTGAGCTATTCAGGCTCGCGAGGGACTGTAGTGGATAGTTTGATTGGATACTAGTAACTAGTGTGAAACGTCTAGTCCTTACTTTGGTGCAGACTGAATTTTACCACTCAGGTTTGCCATGTGGTCACCTTTCTAGGTAGCTCGCCGTCATGGTGTACATTGATTTGATGATATTAGATAGTTGGAAGCAGTCGGAAGGAAGCCTTGGACCTAGGTTTCATCAAATAAATGTGCACCATGAGTCAAGCTACCTAGATTACTGGCCACATTGCAAACCTGACTGGTAAAATTCAGTCGGCACCAAAGTAAGGAATAGACACGTCACGCTAGTTACTAGTGTCCAGACAAAACTGCTTTTAATTGAAATTTTAAGTGTAAAATAGTTGTTCAGATGTATAACTTCAAACTGAGATTTGTTAGTCCTTTTAATAAAGCAAGCCATCATATCATGAACTATCACGAATGGGAATTATATACTTGTACTTGTATACACTTGTATGGTGAATTGATTTTTAATTTCATTTGCAGAATTACTTCTCCGTCACTATTCAGCATAATTTTTGTATCAACTCTTTTGCTTCCAAGGCACTCTCAGTTCCTGTGATGTGAAAGCAGGCCGACAGAATGTGATTGTTTGACTAGACTAATTTTCAGAATTAACAAGAAGTTGTTAAGAAAAAAGAGGGAAATAGAATAAACTGTACTGTTTTGATTAATAGAATCGATGCTGTTTTAGGCCAACCTAAAGACTGACGACAGAAGACTAGCTAGTGAGCCTTTGAAACAAAAGTGTTCACTAAATGATCAAAGTTTGGATAAATTAACTTTAAGCTGTTAACGTGGTAGTTAACTAGCGTATCTTAACCGATAACATAATGTTAACCGATATTAAAACAATATCTTGGCTTGTCTCCTTTGGACACACAAATACTATTTTGCGGCATGAATAGCTTATTACCTATCGCTGGACTGCACTAGCAGCCAACATCAGCTCAACGTCTTTGATGACAGTCAAAAACTTCAGAAATACATTTTGTTCAATGATAAACGCACCAGAAGCAAAGATTTATCGGTAAATATCCAACTACCGGTTATATAAAATGGTGGAAGGCAGTGGCAGAAAGCCTTGGATCTAGGTTCTGTACTAGTTTGCACTCGTTATCAGCTCAGTGGTAACATCTCTGACAGCAGCACTTGATGACGCGGGCTCCAATCTCCAAATGGTGTTCCTTCAAGACTGCAGATACTCCTTGCTGATGAGTGCCAACTGGAAGGCAACCTAGGTCCAAGGCTTTCTGCTGACTGCTTCCAACTATTTAATATCAGCATTTCAAAGTATACTGCGTTGGTGGGCCACCAAGATTGGTGACCATATGGCAAACGTGACTGATAAAATTCAGTTTGCACCAAACAAAGAACTAGAGGCGTTACACAAATTAGTGTCCAATCATAGCATCGGTTGTATAAACAACATATAAAGCTGGTTTCAACTTTTATATTACTGTCAACGGTTTGTTAAAATCATAATATTGGCTACAGACTGCGTTACTGTTTTAATGTGACATTTTCTCAACAGATATATGGTGTGATAGTTCACTTATACCGGGAACACTGATTTACAGTTTTAAAGAATAAGAAGAGACATTTTTAATGACTGCACACTATTGATTCCTTTTAGATGATTTTGGATTCCCTACCTAAGGGATACATTCACAAGGCGATGTTATTTAAAAGTCAGGTGAGTTGTGGAAAAAAAGCACTGTTAGACAATGTATATTCAAATTCAATGAATGGCTATTTTCAAGCATATAATTATTTTAAATTTTCTGACATATTTTGAGTAATTCCTTTTTGTCTTTGTTTGACCGCTGCTTTGATTCATTATTGTGGTATATTCACAAGTTGTAACCACTCATTATTTATAAAACACAAAATAATTGAACAAAGAATATGCTTTTTGATAATTTCCTCTTCTGGCTCTACAATTATATACATAAATGTTTATATATATAGAATATTCTAGAATAGTAGTCAACAACAATATTAGTGTTTATTTTAAGTAATATCAATTTGTAAAGCAAGATCAATGGAATTAAAGTTCATTAAAGATGTTTAAATAAGAATAATAATAAAGATATAGTAGCAAATAGAATATCAACTAAAATTGGGGAAATTTCCACAAAAATTAGGCATCATTCAAATCTAGATGGTCAAGATAAGGATAATGTCTAGACGCACATATTAGGCTTCTTAATTTGGATCCCAACAGCCTCAGCAATATTCAGTAGTTGAACTCAAGGCGAAATTGAGATTTGTTGGTATGAGGCAGATGACTTTGAAAGCAGCCTCGTTGACATGAATCTTGTGTTCTATATCCACAAAATGAGATAGAATAGGGCTACTAGATGGATTCTGTTTGTCCTTTACTTAACCACACAGGGTGATGTTTGAAGATGTTAGTTTTTTAACTTTTTAAAACATTTTTTATTATTTTTGATTGCAGCTTGATTCCACACTGTATTTCTGGTACAAGTATGGAATATTCACCATGTGATATCGGTAGCCCAAATTTTTCAGGCGGACCATAGATATCAGGCATGCGTCGGCATGGGATCGAATCTCGGACCGTGTGCATGGTCGGTGAGAGTCCTAACCACTGTGCCACCGACGCACATAAGGAGACGAAAAAGAATGAATAAGAGAGAAATTTATTTTTGTGAAATACACTAAGGAAAAAGACTCACATATATGAAAAGTGTAAAATATGATATGAGTAGGAGCAATACACTGTGCTCGGATTGTCATCAGTAAGTTAAAAAAACACTGTATCAGAAGGCCTTTCATCAGATAAACGTATTCTATTATGGATTTATACTCGACCAATGTGACTAAGTTCTATTCATTTAGCATATCGACAGTTACTTGGATGTATCGGTCTTAAAACTGGAGTGTGACACTTATAAGGAAATTTGTAAATCGACGAGACCGGTGTCATATCCTGTAATGCTGGAAACAAAAATATTACATATTAGCAAGCTAACTTCTTGACTATGGGAATGGTACATTGTTTGGTTGGTTTTTGTAACAGGCTGTTTTCCCTTAGGGAGTTCAACCTACGAGTGCAATAGTGAATGTCAAAGACCATTGTGTATTTCAAAAGGAACGCATAAAGTCTTTGGTATTAACTGGAACATGAAAATCTGAATCCTCTTCAACTGTAACACTTACGCAACTTGCTGCTCTACTGAAATATAAAATGAATCCTCTTGCCATTGATATTCTTCTAAATGAAATCAAATGTAGCGTTTTAATAGCTAACCAGTCAGTCTGTGTGGAGGATTTCATCATGAGCGGACATCAGTTAAAGAACCACTGAAAAACCTGAGACTACTGGACAGCTGTTTTGTCCTAGTTTGGGACACTTCAGTATTACGCACACACCTCAGTTCGATCCCGGAACCTTCTGGTTACAAGTAGACCATTTTCCCACTGCGGACCTGATCCAGTGACAGTAACTGAGGCAGAAACTAATCGAAGAAGACATTGCGAAATGGTCGCGTTATGTTGTGAATTGGCAGTAGTTACAATTCATGTGCCATTGGATCGGGACCCAGCTGCTTAATGGTCTACGAGCTCGCCTTGTAACCAGAGGACCATTAGTTCTAACTCTGGTGGGTGGGTACTGTGAAGATTTCGAAACCAGGATGAAGCAGGTGTCCAGTAATCATAGGTTTTCCAGTAGTTTTCTCACTGATGTCAGCTCATGATCAAATCCTCCATGCAGTCAAACAAAATCCCTTCAGAACCAATACTTGAAAACTAACCTGTTACTTGATTTTGAGAAAGTGGATAGCTTATTTTAACAGGTTAACAAATACGGCAAAGTAAATAAGTACACTGAAAGTTTTATAATTGAAACAAAGCCTGATGATTTGACAACTTGATATTAAAATTAATAAATTTCTTGCAAACGATAGGATGTGAACTATCCACCCTACATTGGTATCTTTTCCATTCCTTCATTTTGCAATGTATATGTGTGTATGAAAGGTGAATTATTTGATTATAAACGTTTTTTTTTGACAAAATGCTTGCCTTAGAGTTGATAACCTAATTGATGATATCTGTGCTCGTAGTTAAATAAAGTCAGTAAAGTTAAACATAAATTTTGTGGTTTATTGTGGATGCAAAAACGATTCAACTGCCTTAGCATAATAAGTCACCATATAAATTTAATTCTTGTGTTGGTTTAATTTCGTCTGTAGCGTATTGTAATTACAGTTGAGGCTAACTTCTTGTGGGTGATTTAAAAAAAATTAAATTTCAGTATCTTTTTCAATTCCACAGTTTACCTCAACATTCAGATTTCTATTAAAACAAGAATAACATAAACGTCTCTATAGATAATTCATTTACTTAAAATATTTTTGAGATTTTATTCATTTTTGATACTAGCGGAACACAGGGCTTGACGCTTCGAGCTTTCAAGTTTCGGTAGAAGTGGTGTTAATCTTTTTTAAGGATTAAGGTTGCTAGCCTGACGCCCAACACCTCCTGTCTACCAAGCCTACTACAGTTGAGCGAGGTCGGGGAGTTCGTCAGCCAGGGACAGAACTATGCACCGTGTGTGTAGTACGCTAGCGCTCTTCCAATATACCACCACTGTATTGATAAAGAAATATTTTTAATAGAACTACCTATCTAACTTTAAACAACATTTTTATATGTCACTTAAACGTCCTTTAAGTATAACTATTTACTTCTGGATAGGTGATTTTAACTGTGGAATAAGCATCATAAGTTTAAACATAGGATCTTCTCAAAAATGTAGGCTCACATATGATGGAGAAGATTTTCAGCTCAAATGAATGGTTTTGATGTGGTTGTGTTCCCTCAGTTGGATAGTTTGTTTGCGTAGCTGTCATTTTACTCCTTTCTATGGACTTTAAGCAGGTCATCTTATTGTTGCACGTTACATTTATATATATATATATATCCGTAATATATCTGCTTCTACAGTTACATTATACTCCTTGGTATTAAAACTAACAGTCAGTAACCTGAAACATTTGAAAAATATACTAATAAATTTTCATACAGTTTGGATATTTTATTTAAAATTATTTTTCAGCCATTAAGTTTGTGAGTATCTCAAGTCAGAGGTTCAATGATTGAGGGAGTTAAAGCTAGTGTTATCAACTTAAATTTGTCGGTTTTGTAATAGCATGATGGTTTTACACTGAAAATGATTTCAGAGCAGTTAAATAGTTCTGTATTACTCGCGTATATATGATGTCTACTTTCATTATCCTGTTAACAATGTATGTGTATGACAAAGCGTCCGGAGATACTAATACTCATTCCGTCGTTGAACAGTTATAAATTAAGCGCTAGCCCTCCATTTAGTTATTCCAGTAATAGGAACTATGTTATGACAATAAATTGTAAGAATTTCATAAAATCCTTCTCATAAGGACATATTTTGCATATTGTAACTTTGTTAATTTGGTGGATGTTTGTCAAACCACTTAATAACCAACTTTTCTACTCACTGAGTAGTGTTGTGCTGCTCATTGTGTGTGTGTGTGTACCTTCCGAAATACTCACTAGAAATATATTGCAATCATTGCAAGCAGTTCGAGACATCATCGTTTGAAACGTCTACCAAGTGGACTTAGTATGACGAAACTGGCAGTGTGCGTCGGCGGCACAGTGGTTAGGACTCTCGCCGACCATGCACATGGTCCGAGGTTCGATCCTCTGCCGACGCACACCCGATATCTATGGTCGGCCTGCAAAATTGGTCTACCGATATCGCATGGTGAATATTCCATACTTGTACCAGAAATACGGTGTGGCATCAAGCTGTAATCAAAATAAAAATAAAATAAAAAATACTAGGAAACATCTTCAGAGCATGCTTCAATATGAAGTGACCTTTGGATTTCTCCACGAGTTTATTAGTCATCTCTGCTGGTGATCTTCAACGTGATTGGTTGTTTTCATGTGTTTTCACACCTAGGGTACTTGTATCAATAAAAAAAATCAAATCAACAAAATTTACCTACTGATAAGAAGGGAATCTCACACACAAAGGGTCAAAGACCAAGCCAAGGAAATAATCAGTTCCAATACAAGTGACCTAGAGATGTGAAAGCATACAAAAACAACCGATCACGTTCAAGGTCATCCACCAGGAGAGTTGACTAATATACTAGTGGAGAAATCTAAAAGCTTACTTCAAATTAAAGCGCGTGCTGAAGATGTTGCCTAGTAGGGTAATGAAAGCTTAGCAAATCAACCATATAACTCAGAGAACACAATCACATCAAAATGTAGGCTCTTTTTTTTAAACAGCTAGAATTAATAAGTTTATGGAATAAATAGTTGTTAGACTTTTGAACAGTAATAACTAATACGACTAGGTGCAATTTGGTGAATGATGACTAACAGTGAAATCCAGGACGCTCATTTTGTCGTGTCAGCCTGGAGTATTTACATTCTTACTGAATGACCGTGTACCCACTAAAAATGGAACTCAGCAATCATCTTTCCAACTGCTGCAATGTTCAGATAAGATGCATCCTACATTTTATTGCGTCACAAGGCACAGCGGTTAGGAATCTCACCGACCATTCACATGGTCCGGGGTTCGATCCGCTGGTGATGCACACCTGATATCTAAGGTCGGCCTGCAAAATGTAGGCTACCGATATCACATGGTGAAAATTCCATACCTGTATCAAAATACGGTGTGGAATCAAGCTGTAATCAAAAATTAAAAAAAGAAAAAGAAAACACAATCAAAACACGTTATTGCCTCAAACTTGTTGACAGGGACCAAGCCTTTCTGTCCAATGTACTTATTCAACAGGAAACGCAAAATTAAATCAAAACGCATATCACCCTTAGTGTTGCATAGAATTCATCACGAATAAGATCTAGACATATATTAGTCTTGTGTTTGTTTACTACTACTAAGCACTATTTATGCAGTATATAGGAGGTTCTAGATCATTTTAAAGCAACATAACTATTCGTGTCCATTAGAGAACGCTTTTCTTAAAATGTAATCATTAACAAGGGCACAAATTTTGATTAGTATTTACTGATTACAGTTTATTAAGTAATTGATACTTTTATTTTTCCTATCTATCCTTTTTAATGGGTTACTAGCTATCATCTACAATAGGCAGAATTATTCGTCTAGAACAATTGAATGATGTTTCACCAATGTCACCTATATTGCAAAGAAGAGATCCTTGTTGCAGTCAGAGCACAGAAGCATCAACATGGATTAATCGACAGGATAAAATGATGATCTTAAAGCTTTGCGGTAATACATAGTATTATTGATATACGTATTTAAATTCATTTATTACAGATCTAATCTGTGTCGTCAGTAATATTAAATGTTTATTTCAAGGTACATCTTGAATAATGAAACTGTTCTATGATTCACTTATTGTTAATGTGAGAAAATAATTAGTGAGAAATTAGACAGAACTGAGAATTCATAGATTGCTTACCGGATTGGATTGGCCACATCCTGGGGAAACCATCAAGTGACATCAGTGGACAAGCCCTCGAGGGGAACCTGAATGGGAAGTTGGTCATCGAAGAGTGACTTGGAGGAGGTCATGTGAAGAGGAGATGAAAGCATGTGGCCAGATCTGGAGCCAGGTGAAAACTTTGGCAGAGAACTGAACACAGTGGAGACGTGCAGCTGAAGCCCCATGTTCCTCTAGGAATTAAAGGATATAATAATAATAATCACTGGATTCCGTCTCAGTGTCTGAGTTGTTACCACGAATACCTCGGTACCTGAGTTCCTGTGCTCGATCTTCGGTAGGGTCTTGGATACACACTGCTGAAGTGTTCCGAACTAGGATGAAACAGCTGTCAGGTACTCCCTGGCTTACAGTGTTTCTCCAACTGGCGTTGAGCCGTTATCGACATTTTAATGAATTATTTCCCAACAAACTAATAGTAGGAAAACTGTCGTTGCAATAGCCTCAGTCGTTACTAAGACTTTTTATAGATCGTTCATAAAAAACCGCAATGCATTGACGAATTTTTTTCAAAAATAAACACCCATTAGTTTCGAATCCCTGATCTGAGCACAACCTACAAAACTTCCCTAACAGAAAAATAGTGTATGTTGGGAGTAAAGTTATTGGTTAGCAGTTCCAGTGCTTCTGTTAGAGCCTTCACAGGAATTATAATGCCTTTACTAGTATCACAGCTCTAAAGGTGGCATCAAATGAATGAATAGGGTATTAATAGAATAAAAGACATCATACCTTGAATCCAAATTTTATAAAATATTATTTTCTAGGACTTCAATATTACATATATATATATTCAATGTCGTTTATTTCCCTTCAAATTAGAGTCACTCTGGGATGTGGAAACAGGCCGCTTGCAACATAAAGTCTTTAGATATGTAAGTGTTTTCTTTTTTTACCTTTTTATTCTGAAATTGGTATATATTAAGTAGCATGTTTAGTTGTATCGATTATTTATTGACGTCTAACTCATTAATCATTATATTTGAAAAAAAATCTATTCAGCATTTTTTTCATCATTTGACAAGTATGGAAATAATAAAAACCAAGGTAAACTAAACAATAACTGTATTTTCATATCAAAGATTACCGGTGTGTTTGTGACCAGATACTTTTTGGGATGTAACTCAAAAGGGTTGCTTCATGAGACGAATTATGGCCATTAATTCTCAACATTTTCCAGTTTATATCCAAGTTTGGTGCACATAACCGATAACTACTCTCAATAAATCCATGAACGATTTTTGGAGTCTGTATTTGATACACATTAAAGTCCACAAAATAAGTGAGAAAAGAATATTATAGCAAAAATATTCATTCAGATATCTATAAAACACAACATAATCGAGCAAAGAATATTCTTTTCAATAAATTTCTCTTCTGGCTCTACAATTATATACATGTTTATATACACAGAATATTCAAGGTTGGTAGTTAATAACAATATTAGTGTTTTTTAAATAATATCGATTTGTAAAGCAAGATCAATGCAATTACAGTTCACTGAAGATACCCAAATTATATTAGTAATAAAAATATAATAGCGAATAGAATATCAACTAAAAATAGAGAAGTTGCACAAAAATTCAGGATAATTCAAACCTGGATGGCCAAGGTAATGATAATGTCTGAACTAACTTCGTGTTTGAGTGGATCCCCACAGCCTCAGCAATATTTAGAAGTAGAAATCTTAAGGCAAGACTGAGATTCGTAGGTATGCGTTAAATGACCCTTAGAGCATGGTTAACGTCAATCTTGTGTCCTGTCTCCACAAGATGAGACAGAATAGCGCTACGAATGGATTCTGTCTGACCTTTGCTTAACCACGCAGCGTAGTGTTCGGAAATTCGACGAAAAACACGTCTAATTGTACGGCCTATGTAACTGGCTCCACAGGAGCAGTTAAATTGGTAGATAAACATAGAAGAGGCAAAATTTGGCAGTTTGTCTTTTACTCCCGAATGCAGAAGAGGAGTGGTTGTAAAGATACAGCGTAATTCAGCAGCAGGGAATACCCTTTTTGCCGCATTTCTAAGGCGCTGTGTTAGTATCTAGCTGGTGTTGTCCCCAAGGAACTTCATCTGTAAGAATAAGTCCTTTTTTGGAATATTTTGTGTATATAAACATATATATATATATTTGTAGAGCCGGAAGAGGAATTTATCGAAAAGAATATTCTTTGATCATTTATTTTGTGTTTTATAGATGTCTGAATGAATATTTTTGTTTTATTGACACATTAAAATTGTTTTGTTTGTACCTGTCATAACTTACATAGTTACAAGGACCTGTTGTATCCAAACGTTTTATTTGTAAGAGTCCAGTTAATTTCAGTGTATATTTTGTCACGTATTTCAAGAAACTCGACACTCACTTACTTATTATTCGTCCATAACAGAGATCCTGAAGTTTGTGAGAAACGTTGCTACTTGTGGAATCCACTGGGATGATTTTTCAAGTGGATGGTAATAACGGCCTGTTATGATGCAAGATCTTTGTAACGAGGTCACTGCGTCGGTGGCACAGTGGTTAGGACTCTCGCCGACCATGAACATGGTCCGAGGTTCGAACCCCCGCCGACGCACACCTGATATCAATGGTCGGCCTGCAAAATTTGGGCTCCCGATATCCATGCTGAAAATTCCATACTTGTACCAAAAATACAGTGTGGAATCAAGCTGCAAATCAAAAATTAAAATCAAAAAATTAAATTAACTACTGACCAGTGCCCACTTAACTGGTAAAGCAGAACACGCCAAAATCAGCGGTAAAACCAGGTTTTTTTATTATGACAAAAGTGACTGTATTTATACAGAAAATAAGGAAGATTGAAAATCAGCCAATCCTGTTGAGAGTTGGAATTGTGCAAGCGTCCTATCAGAAGCAGGAACAATTGCATGTCAATGACTTGTTAATAACGCGATAATAACTTGACTGAGACATGATAATGACCTGATAATTGCATGTGTTTTGCCTCTTCCTAACACGGCCATTGTTTAGCGTGAGAGCAATGTTCCAGACTGGAAGAGGTTACAATTCATATAGCATTAGACTCTGGTACCGTGGTTGAATGGCTGGCGCTTTAATATAAGTTGAAAACTTTGTGTTTTATCTACTGTTGTGTCACAGGTTTGCACTGGTGAAAAGTCATAATCTTAGAAGAGGGCCACTGCTTATTGTTGTTAGTACTAGAGATAATGATGGCTTGTGTAGGATCTTAAATTCCTTTTCACTGAAAAGAAGAAAAATTTGGTGAGCTTTTATCTGACTTTGAATGGTTTTCTACTTTGATTGGACACCCGTTACTAACTAGTGTGATGTGTCCAGTCCATTGTTTAGTGTAGACTGAATTTTTTCAGCCAAATTTGCAATGTCGCCACCATGCTAGGCAAGCTACCATCATGGTGCACTATGGATTTTTGATAAAAGATGGTTGGAGGCAACTGGCGGGAAGCTTTGTGCCTAGGTTTCACATTCGTTTGCACCCGTCAGTAAAGCATATCTGCAACTTTGAAGTAATTTATTTTCCTTCTGAGATTTCAGCACGCTTCACTGTCAGCCGCAGTCATAGGCGTTGTGTGACGGAAACTTTTACAACCCTATTGCATCCTGTAATTTACATATTTGCACAATTTTTCATCCAGTCAGTTGAAATATATCGATTTATTTTAAAAATTGTATAAAAACTGAACTACAGATTGAAAAACAGTCAGTGAATGGTTCTAACCATTGGTTGTGAATATATATGCTCACTAAAACAGAAAGGATATATATATATACCAGAGATGAGTTTAAATCTCAAGACCTTTCCAAAGTCATTTCATTGTCAAAATCAATTTTTTAACTCAGGTGCTGATTCATAGAGATTTAATTGTTTACAGGGTTTCGTCGTGAGCTGGAATTGCTTAGACAGCCACTGGAAAATTTAGGATTACTGAACAGTCGTTTCGTCCTGGTCTAGGACTCTTCGACAGTACGCAGCAACCCCATCGCCAGGATTTGAACCCAAGACCTTCCATTTACAAGGCGAATTGGTAGACCATTAAGTCACTGGGACCTGATCCAGTGGCCAGCCCATGAATCCAAACTTCTGCCAATTCACAATATAGCAAAATCACTAGCTAATAGCATCTGTGGCGGGTATTCGCCCTCACACCCGACTTGCTGTACCCAACTGGTCATGACTTCTCACTAGAACCCAGGTAACTACCTACCTGTGGAGCTTTGGAGTTTCCGCAGCAGTCGCATTCATTTTTACAGGATAGGATTACTAGTCTCATGCCCAACCTTCCCTCTTTACCAGTTTTATTACTAGCTTACAGAGGTAAAGGAGTGAGTCTATGGCCGGGGATCGAACCCCAAAACATCTGTGTGGTTTGCAAGCACTTTATCGCTTTACCATTGATACACATGAATTAGATATTTCAAATTTTCATTCGACAGTACCTATTTCTTTCAGTTGATGGAACGTACAAATGCAGAAAATGGTTTCATTGTTATGCGAAACGCAGATACTTCGGAATTAGTTTGTTATGTGAGTCTTACTTTTTGGTTATTGTATTAAATAGTTATTTTATTTTCAGTTTTTTCTCTCAGCTGTACTCTAAATAGTATTGACGAATGAAAGTGACACATTTCCTGATAAAAGTAATTAAAAAACATCAAAATATAAACTAAAAGTTTCCTCAAATATGTTCTTGTTGAATGTGTGTGAATTCTGTACTTATGCTTTCCAAGCATAACCCTGAATGACAGATCTCTTAACCACTTCTCGAAAACGTTTATTATTCCATTCGCCTGATTTGTGTTTCTCACTAAATATCTTGTCAATATACGTGAAATATCGCTAAACTTATTGAGAAATTCAATTTGTCCTAAAATATTGCCATTTATAATAATATGAATTTATAAAATGAAAGTCAAAATACAAAAAATAATAGTAATTTCATTAATATTGATTATTTTTAAAGGTAATGGAGACAAAGAATATATCTTGGAGATACGAAGTAAGAAATGACTAGATGACATAAATTATATGCATATCTTTTATAACAATTATTCACTAATCTGTGCACAAGACGAATGACTAGAACACTTGAAATATTTGATATCTTCTAGGTGTCATCTTCTGAAACATGTCCGTAATACATAACACGAGACGATGAAGGCGATGCTAAGATGAAGTTCTAGGGTGCTGTAAATGCTAAGGAGATTTTTACGAGTAATTTTATTGCTGCCTCCTTAAGTCAGTTTTGATTTTTTGACTAATTGACTGGACTGAAACTTTCACCCTCTGTTGGAATATGTAGGAACATCATCAACCACTGGGGATTTCAAGTACACACAGATGGCACATCACAATTAGGACAAAATGCACATCCTAGGTTCCACAGTTAGTGACCATCCATCAGATTGTCAACACAACAATGTGTATGAAGATTACCAGATTCTATGCTACTTGAAGCATTCACATATATCCTTAATGTGTATTATTTATTTGAACTAATTTCAAATATGCCGGGAAACATACTTCTGAAACATTTCATTGTGCCTTACGTAAAAATATTGCATCAAATAACGTACAGTCAGTTGTTTTTTCACGTGAAAACTACGTGCGAAGGATAACAAGGCACTTGATAAGACACTCGAAAAAGCATGCACTATATAAGCCTCGTTCCAGAATAAGAATATGTCATTGATCAGACCGCCATTATAGAAGAAAAGCGAATAAAAGTAGAAATTTAAATTAAATTAGGTTTCTACTGCTAGTCACCATCCACTAATTAAATTTGAAAATTGGAAATGTTTATATAAGTACGTACGAGGCTAAAACTCTCTGGCTGCTGCACTGTATTGGTGAATATATCTTTGACATTAGTATCAGTGTTGAGTGACCAGCGATTTCTGCAAACAAATGCCTGAGTGTGTTTATACATCACCGGATTAAAGAAAGAGTTTCACAGGATAGGTCAGCGAATATATATACTTTGGGAGATAACGCTTTCTAACTATGCTTTCTTGAACAGGTAAATAATACACCTGACTTGCTGATCGACTAAAGAAAGCATCTTCCATCTGCCAAATTTCTTGAGCTGATATATAAGTGTGGATTGTTTGCATACTTTCTCCTAGCTTTCAAATGAACTGAAATTTCAATGTGGTAAACAATAGGTCCACTGCTGCGTGTCGGTGGCACATCGATAGCATGGTCGCCATCATGCGGGTGGTTCGGGGTTCGACACCCGGCCACAGACGCACTCCTTTACCTCGCTAATCTAGTAATAATATTGGTAAAGAGGGAAGGTTGGAGGTGAGGCCAGCAATCCCATCCTTTAAAAATAAACATCACTACGATCGAAACCATAAGCCTCCAGCTTGAATCCTTATGTTCCACTGGGAACGTAAAGGAATGAAAAGAGTAGGTCCACCCCCAGCCTTAAGCATCTAAATTATCCATAATAATGCTTGAATGGATAAAGCAGTTATGTTGTAGTTTTAATACGATTCATACAGTGAGAAAACTCCAGACTTCCAGAAAATTCATTATCATTGTAATTCTCTGATTTGAATTATGAGGTAGATCGTAAAAAAAAATAAAAATAAACTGAAAGTGCATTCAAATCGATTATTTTAAAAAATACAATGCTGATGAATAGCAGTCAGTATTAACCTAGTTTCATATTAGATGAGTTTATTTTAAATATTATACACTGATGCAGTATTAACAACTGAATGATGTTTTAAGCATAAAATATTGCTCATTATCACATTACTTTTCAACCTAAACCCAGAACAGCTACACAGACTGAATAGGAACGCAACTAATAAATAGGCTCATGAGTTTAGTAGTTATAGCACAAACCATATTTATGTCATGATGATAGGTGAAATAATTTACTCATTCAAGTTAAAAGTGAAGAAAAGATTATGAAGTGGGTCGGTGGCACAGTGGTTAGGACTCTCGCCGATCATGTACATGGTCCGAGGTTCGATCCCCTACCGACGCACACCTGATATCTATGGTCGGCCTGCGAAATTTTGGCTACCGATATCACATGGTGAAAATTCCATACTTGTACCAAAAACACAGCGTGGAATCAAGCTGTAATCAAAAATAAAAAAAATAATAATGAAAAACGGAAAATTCCTACACTAAGTCATCAGAAAGACAAGAAGTATACAGCGAGGAGGATCTTCTTTTAGACCAGTCATTTCCCAGAGCTTTACAGTGGTACTTATACCTTCCAAAAGAGTTCATATGACCGATCAGATGCTGGTAACTATGTTGCAGAAAATGTATGGAATTATTATTTGAGGTGCAATCTAGAAGGGAACAACTAAGTGTAGATTAGAAAAAAAAGTCCGCAAGTTGAAATGAAGTGATACATGTGAAAAAATGATTGGTCATTATGAATGTACGTGGTGGACAAAAACTAGTGGAAAGACCACTGTCAAAAACCTAGATCGCTGAGACCCTGTAATTATCACTGGTTTCCGAAAATTAAGCTTAAAAATCGGTACACTATGCCCTTTTACCAATGTGGAGTAACAGAAAATGGTTGTGCAACACGATTATTTATTTTTTAAGTGATAACGAAACAGATTTATAGTGGTTAATCAGTGTTAGAATCTGTAAGCAAACGTTAATATAATATACAACAATACTTCTGATCGTATTTCCCCAGTTGTCTGTCAACCAATATACAATCAAGCGATGAAAGTCTTCTTGTCTCCCGCCAAATGGAGATCAGTTCCAACAAACAAACTACTCAGTGTTCATCAACATTGACAACCATAAATTGCCTACATAAAATCTGAACCGAACCGAGGATATCAAAGCCAGAATCGGAAAAGCAAGACAAGCTATCATAACTCTTAAGTCTGTGTGGACGTCAACAGCACTTACCATCAAAAATAAAATCCGGATTTTCAACTCAAACGTGAAGTCACTCAGTGCTACTATACGGATCAGAGACTTGCACTGCGCGTCATAAAGAGCATCTCAAACAAACTTCAGACCTTCATTAACAGTTGTCTTCGCTCAGAAAAGATCAGCAACGGGTAGGGATTTCTGTCAATGAGCGAACAAACCAGGAACCGATTGTGAAACAAATAGGCAGGAAGAAATGAAGATGGATTGGCCATACGCTGAGGAAACCATCAAGTGACGTCACTAGACAAGCCCTCGACTAGAACACGAAAGGGAAGCGGCGAGTTGGTCGTCAGTGCAAAGGTGACTTGGAAGAGGTCATGTGAAGAGGAGATGAAAGCATGTGGGCAGACTTGGAGCGGGGTGAAAAGGTTGGCAGAAAACGTAAGGCAATGGAGATGCGCAGCTGAAGCCCTACGTTCCTCTAGGAATTAAAGGATACAATAATAATAATAAACCCAAAACAATGAAATGAAACATAATTATGGTAACGACGCTACTTTGATCATGACAAAGCGGATGAATATATATAGTGCTTCTTAACCTAGATGTAATGTTTCACGTCTAAAATAGCCATTGATTTGGCTCTGTATAAAAATGGTGTATTCGAAGTCCTTTCATGTGATATTGAGATTCTTTGTGCAGCAGTGTGAAGCAGTCATGCAGCAGTCCCCGATCTTCAGAGTAGCCAGGGTGTTCCAGGATGAAACTACTGATTTACAGTCAGCTGGACGAATGCACATATCAAAGCTGATTTCATTGATTGTTCAGTAGTTGATGATTAGTGTTGGATGCTGTTCTCTGAACCTCTTATGAAATGATCATTCTTCTATGCAGAATTAAACTATGGAATTATCATCACTTTTACATAAATTATCACTAAACATATTAGTTTGTTTATTAGATGTATCACACACTGTGTGAAACAGTATTATTTACTGGATGACATTTCGAACAAAATTTATTGTTCATAATCATTTCATCAATTATAATGACACGACTTCGAAACTTGAATTTTATAGCTTTCTTTGTTCTCTCCTATTTGTGGTTGTTGGAATAGTAAAATTTTCCAGATATCTGGCTGGACAGGTGTTGAATCATTCCTATTACACGTATTTGCAGTAGATTCGATAAACAAAGCTTCCACTGTCATCAATCTCTCCCTTCACCCTGTGACTTTAGATTTTAGAACTGTCATCCTATCCCATCCATCCTATTGTATGGTTGTGTGTAACTGCATGTAGTGCTATGGCTCTTTTATCGAATCAACTGTAAATACACGTCAGACATAGGCATGATTCAACAAGTGTCACAGATATCTGGAAAATTTTACTACCCCTAGGACGACAAATATGAGAGGACAAAGAAAACTATAAAACTCAAGTTTCGAAGTCATGTGATTATAATTGATGAAGTGATTATGAACAATAAATTTTGTTCGAAACCTTGTCATCCAGCCAATAATCCTGTTTCACTGTGTGATACATTTAATAAAAAAACTAATATGGAATTACTTATTACCACAGTTCCCGAGTTTTTACATATATTATTATCACTAATCATTTGTTTCTTACAATGTCAATGCTCCAAAAAACGTTTCTGAAAAATTTTCATCAAACTGGATATCTGGTGAACATGAGTTAGTAAAAATGATACATTAGGAAATAAGCAGAATATCCGCAAGCGTAAAAAAACAAGACAAGTTGAAATCTTCTTCTGGATAAGAAAGTTATTTCCCTTCAGTAGGATTTTTTTACAATTAATACAAGATATGTGTATCAAAATTTTATTAGAATTGCTAAATCACAGATATATTGTATATGTGCGTGTGTAAAGAGAGATAATAAAACCGAAAAGTAATAAAGTGAGGAAAAAACAGAGGAAATAATTTTAATTATAGTCAGCTCAAATTTAGACCTTATACCTTTTATTTTAATTTTTTTGGTTACAGCTTGATTCCACACCGTATTTTTGGTCCAAGTGTGGAATTTTCAGTGTGGATATCGGTAGCCCAAAATTCGCAGGCCAACCATAGATATCAGGTGTACGTCGGCGTGGGCTCGAACCCCGGACCATGTGCATGGTCGGCGAGAGTCCTAAGCACTGTGCCACCGACGCACATTTAGACCTTATACCTGGACACATGGACAGTAATGTGTGAACTAATAAAAGTTTTCTCGGAACTCTACGTAATGGAATGAAGTGAAAATGAGTAGGCATCAAACTAAGGACATATCCAGTTACAAGTATCATACTTTTGATGGTTGTATTGTCCGAATTCTACCAGTGTTTGTATCATATCACTGGTGAGGGAAAACCAATAGAACTACTCTAAAGCATTATTTCTTGCTTAGCAAACCTGTTCCATTTGCGAACGTTGTTTACACTCTACCATATTAAGTCTTCACACTCAAACTTCACTGAATATTGCCACAATGATGGGCAAGGGATTAAGTAGACTGAAGTTAAAGCAATGAGTTGTCCCGTTGAATATTCCTTGCTAATGAAAAAATGTTTTATTCGATGGAATCATTTCAATTTAGAAAGCGTCGGTGGTACAGTGGACACTCATCGACCATGCGCATGGCCCGGAGTTTGATCTTCGGCTAACACACACCTGATATGAATGGTCGGCCTTCAAAATTAGGGCTACTTATATCACATGCTGAAAATTCCATACTTGTACCAAAATACTGTGTGGAATCAAGCTATAAGAAATAATAAAAATTTTTAAGTTTCATGAACTGCTATCATTATAACTTTATTATAAGGTATATTCTGCACATGTGTATATCTATGCTTAAGCAAAATACAACGTTAATTGTTATTTTTTCTGCTTTCATTCAAGTGTACTGGTGACGAAATATTTGATGAATCCACCTATATTGAAGTAAGTTTCTCGTTATTATCATTATAATGACTACGTGTTTTAAATGCTATAAGAATATTCTAATCATGTCAAAATTTGAATGTGACCGTAGCTGATGCAAGCAATCGAAAGTTTGTTTAACTGAAGAATAGCTGTTAATGACGCTGAGGAATTCCTTTGCGTTGCAACCTCAGCAAAAGGCTTCATACGTTGAAAAATCAGTAGATGCTGAACCTTTGCTCTTCTTTGGCTTATCATCAGTTGGTCGAGGTTCAGGAGTGAGTCAGCAGGGAATTGAAATGCATCACGTGCTTGACTGGCGAGCACTCAACCTCTGAACCACTGACATATGATGGATAATTCTTTATTTTGACCAAGACTCATAATCCAAAATTAATTTGGCACTATATATATCACCACTGATTTTATTGAAAAATCTTGTATGGTAGTATATTCATGTATCAATATACATACTGAGATAGCTTGTATAAATAAGCATCTTTTCGCTAACTGGCTTTCAATATAATATAATTGCATGCATTCATTCAGAAAACTGGCTGAAGTATAGTTCTATTTGATAAGGCGTCAGTTCTCTCAACAACCTTCATTATATACAAAGTGAGAAAGCACTTTCTATTTTTGATTGAAATCGTTTCCTGTAGACAGGAAACTCACACATTCAAACAGATATTTGGACTTCCGATCATCCCATCCTTTATCAATGAAAATAGGATTGGTGAAATGTTTAAGTGACAGAGCACAAAAACTAAGTATTACTAGTAAAAACTTAAGATAGGAAGTGAGAAGCTTTGAAACTTAATAATTACTCTGATTAATTACCCAGAAAGTATGTAGGGAAACGTAAAAATAAAATAAATAATAACAATGGTGATAATGATAGTATTAATGACGACATGCATGTCAAAGATGCGCAAGATAATGACATCAGCAATAAGCAATCTAAATCATCGGTAGTAATTCCATACAAGGAAGGAACCTCGGAAACCTTAGGCAGACTCCTCAACAAGGCAGGAATAGAAGTGGCATTCAAACCCACAAACTCAATTAGAAACATGCTTTGTCAGTTAAAGGATCCTGCCAGTGGAGCCTTTAAAACAAAACAATTTAGTTTACCTAATACCCTGTCTGAGATAATTTTCAGGTAAATTACATAGGTCAAACTAGTAAAATAGGAGCAATCAGACTAGCCGAACATAAAATCTTAGCAAAATCTAGATTAGTTGACCCGAATAAGATAAGAAATCTAGAGAATAGTTCAGCTATAGCATTACATGCAGTTACACACAACCATACAATAGGATGGATGGGATAGGATGACAGTTTTAAAATCTAAAGTCACATGGTGTAGCGAGGGAGAGATTGATGACAGTGGAAGCTTTGTTTATCGAATCTACTGCAAATACGTGTAATAGGAATGATTCAACACCTGTCCAGCCAGATATCTGGAAAATTTTACTATTCCAACAACCACAAATAGGAGAGAACAAAGAAAGCTATAAAATTCAAGTTTCGAAGTCGTGTCATTATAATTGATGAAATGATTATGAACAATAATTTTTGTTCAAAACCTTGTCATTCAGTAAATAATCCTGTTTCACTGTGTGATACACCTAATAATCAAATTAATATGGAAGTAATCAAGTACGGTCTCACAGCTGCAACAGTAATGTAAGCAATCTTCGTAGTATACCCTGTCTCTCTGTTTGTTTTCGTCCTGAACACAACCATCAGTTAGAGATATTAGTGGTAGTTGAACTACATAGATGACAGATTAACTAATATATGAAGACAAGAAAATCTGACATAAACTTATGACGACAAGCACATGTATCACTGAATATGCAGTGTAAACTAGTGGACCCTTTAGTTGTACATCTATTTTCATTCCTTTGGTTTGCAAAACGAATATAAGGCTTCCAGCTTGAGGCTTGCCAATTGGCTATGTTTTGTTGACGTTTGTTTTGTTTTTAAGGGATGTTGCTGCTAGCTTCAAAGCCAACCTACCCTCCTTTCTGGACTTATAACCGCCTGGGCGAAGTTTAAACGTGTGTCAACTGGGCATAAGACTGCGACAACTGTCTTTTTAGTGAGCATTTCACCAGAAAACAAGAAAAAAAACTTTATATTCTCTTAGTCATTTGGCAACTACTTCGCTACTACGGCGTCCCATCGACAATTATACATCTCATCCAACAGTTGTACGACAATGCTGCATGCCAAGTAATCCACAACGGGAAACTTACGGAAGCCTTCGAAGTGAGGACGAGAGTGAGGCAAGGCTGTCTACTATCACCAATGATCTTCCTGATTGCAATTTATTGGATAATGCGACAGACAACGGCAACCAACGAGGGAACAGGCATAAAATAGACTGACACAAAAGACTTGGAGGATCTGGATTTCGCCGATGATATATGTCTGATTTCCCATAAACTGGAAGATATGCAAGTGAAAAGTAACAAGTTGGCAGAAGAAGCATCAAAGATAGGACTTCAGGTGAACATAGATAAAACAGAGGTGATGAAGATTCCTTGCCAACATCAACAGCAGCAACAACAACAGACAACAATCAGCATAAGTGGGAAGAACCTGAAAGAAACAACTTCCTTCACCTACCTGGGAAGCATCGTCTCAACTACATGCGGAACTGACGAGGATATCAAAGCCAGAATCGGAAAAGCAAGATAAGCTTTCATTACTCTCAAATCTGTGTGGAGGTCAACAGCACTCAGCATCAAAAATAAGATCCGGATTTTCAACTCCAATGTGAAGTCAGTGCCACCTATTTCACGGATCAGAGACTTGGCGAGTCATAAAGCGCATCTCAAACAAACTTCAGACCTTCATCAACAGTTGTCTTCGCTCAGAAAAGATCAGCAACAGGTAGGGATTTCTGTCAATGAGCGAACAAACCAGGAACCGATTGTGAAACAAATAGGCAGGAAGAAATGAAGATGGATTGGCCATACGCTGAGGAAACCATCAAGTGACATCACTAGACAAGCCCTCGACTAGAACACGAAAGGGAAGCAGCGAGTTGGTCGTCAGTGCAAAGGTGACTTGGAAGAGGTCATGTGAAGAGGAGATGAAAGCATGTGGGCAGACTTGGAGCGGGGTGAAAAGATTGGCAGAAAACGTAAGGCAATGGAGATGCGCAGCTGAAGCCCTACGTTCCTCTAGGAACTAAAGAATACAATAATAATAATAATTCTCTTAGTCACTCAACAGAGTTGATTTGTCTAAACTTTATTAAATATTTGCATATGAACGATAAAGTTCTCTCACCTTTGTCTGATAAAATGCAGCTGTCTTGACATGTACTCATGTACCATTTGATTTCATTAAATACCATAAGTTAAAGTCTGCAGCATGAAAGTTAATACCTATATTGTTACTTTAAAATACTATTTTTCTGTTGTTCTACTGGGCAAGGTGAAATTGCTGTTTCATCGTGTTGCACGCCTTCTACATGTCTGTTGTTATTAATTAATAAGATATCGTTGAAACCAACACTTGAAAACTATAAACACCTACACCGTTAATAAATTAATAACGGAAAAAATATCTTGAAATCCATATATTTTTGCAAGCTGTAATTACAGATTAAAGCATAGTAACATTTGCATGTAATCAGCGGAAATTGTATAAGAATCAAGACATTTTCTAGTATAGTATCATATGAACATATTTAACACAGCGTCATCAGCTGTACGTAAATTGAGTTCATGAAAATCAAGATACAAGACAAACTATTATATCAAGGTTTAAGAGTGTGTCAGCTGGCGTTCAAATTTGAACCAAGAGTTCACAGTGCACCGTAATGGAGAGTCACCTAGCATAGAGGCCACATTGCAAACTTGACTGATAAAATTCAGTCCGCACCAATGATAGACTAAACTCATTGCACCAGTTACTGACTAGTGTCCAATCAGAAATAAATCAACAATCTTTAGAGAGTCAGTTGACATTATTGAGTATCAGACAGTTGCTTATTATGTCGTGAGAGCAGGCTGCTAGCCAGTTGGTAGACATTAATTTACGTCAATTGCTAGGTCAGTAATATTGGCCGTGAGAAAATATGAACAAGGCTGGTTCAACAACCAATCACAGCAGACTCAACGTGGCCCAATAAGATTCGCAGTTATATGGCTTAACTTTCCGAGAAACCAGAAATAACCAATCAGAAGACTGTGTTTGTCTTCTTGATTACGCTGTGGTAATGTACATGAAATATATATAAATACGTGCTGATTTCCGTAATAAAACGATCTGTTGCCGGCCCTTGTCTTCTGTTGTTACAATTACATTCAGAAATTCTTTAAGGGTCATTGTTGATAAACTTATATATACGACAGTTTTGCTTTATTTCAAATTGCAATATTTTTCTACAAATACTTTTTCATCTGGCTTTGAAACTGTAAAGGATAGATTTTACTCCAAAGGGGAAATTGACCAGCGAATTTCATTTTAATTCGATTAAGCATTCATAGAACCTTTTACAGCAATCTTCATACCATTTCTAAATACAATCCTAATGAGAAATGGCATTTAGTGAATGACCATGTGTAAATGATTAGTCAACGTTGTGGTTTCAATTTTCTGCATAAAACTCTCTTTTGGATGGCTGATATATACAAAGACAGTGTGAACTGTATTTCTCATTTCAAACAGATCATCTCCCTTGTAGTTACAATCGTTGTTAAGCAATACTCAATAACGCTAGTTGAATATCATTCGTTTCAAAATGTTTTGCAATTTTCAATGAGTTAGATGATTGAACGTAAAATTGCACATTTTAACTTTCGTGACTATCATATTATGTTTAGTGAGCCTTTTTCTTAAATTATTTTACTTTTCAGCATGAAAGCTTTTTTAACAAAATAATGCAAACGCGTGAAGTATTTCGTACTAAAACTCTTAATTCAGTACGTTCCCTAAATTTTGAATGCTGTTTATTAACCGTCTCTTATTGATAACTCTCTTATTTAATTTCATTCATTTATTCCCCTTTATGAATTTGAATTTGAAGTAAGAAAAACAGTTTCATGAGGAATAAAATGATACCATCATTGTTGTGTTTTGCTGGCTTCTCAACAGCTGAGTACAGTCTAAAGAAATTAATGAGTTTATGTACAGAAAGTATTTTAACATACTTACACGAAGAGTTCATTTCAAACAGAAAATCAATACGTGCATGCAATGATATTAATAATCACTTTATCACAAACAATATTGATTATTATACAGAATGGAATCTTTCAGCGTTACGTAATCACATGAGAAAGAGAATGAAGATATCCAATTACCAGGGCAAGGGAAAACTGATAACCGCTTCTTTCTGAGCGCATAAATCGGATTTCAGAAGCTTGATGGAGAATGCTTCGGCAAACTCTAGGAGAATTTAACTCATTTGCCTATTGATTATTTTGGACATTATTGAGATGTTCACCTCATGACTGTTGTCAAGATGCCTAGCAGTGGCACCAGTGAAAGCATCTGCTACCTTAAGACGTACGTTCACATTCAGAAAATTGTAGGTATGCTCTTCTTCCCATCCTCCAAATGTTACTCCCCTTGCAGATACATGTGAATTTGTGTAGACAGTTGGAGATAACATCAGAACGGTACCTGCCGACTTGTGATTGGACTAAAGAGCATGTTGAATTGAATTTTTGATTTTCCCGTCGATTGATTGGACCGAAGTGCTCGGTCTCAGGTTGACATGTCGGCTTCTTGTGCAGATGCTTCGACGATGTCTGGGCATTTAGTGAGTATTTAATTGGTTGATGGTGACTAGCAGTGGAATCCAGGATGCGCATTTCGTCCTATTTGGGACTCGTCACTGGATGTAACTGCATTTCCTAGTGAGTGATGACGTTCCCACTGAGGCTCGAACCCAGTACCCATAGTTTCAAGCGCCAAAGCGTTATCCACTAGACCACTTGGGCCGCGAGAGCCACCTCTTGTGCAACGAGTCATATTATTATTGAATTGAATTTTGATTTTCTCGTCGATGCCCAGACATCGTCGAAGCATCTGCACAAGAAGCCGACATGTCAACCTGAGACCGAGCACTTTGGTCCAATCAATCGACGGGAAAATCAAAAATTCAATTCAATAATTAATATGACCCGTTGCACAAGAGGTGGCTCTCATAGCCCAAGTGGTCTAGTGGATAACGCTTTGGCGCTTGAAACTATGGGTACTGGGTTCGAGCCTCAGTGGGAACGTCATCACTCACTGAGAAATGCAGGTACATCCAGCTGACTACGAGTCCCAAATAGGACGAAATGCGCATCCTGGATTCCACTGCTAGTCACCATCAACCAATTAAAGAGCATGTTTTCCGTTAGGAGGGAACCAACTTAGCTGTAGCATAGGCTCTAGCTTTGACTTACTCAATCTTCTGTTGACTATTGCTGCAATATTTTCACTTTTAAAATCAAGATGAATGAAGATAGGCTTGTTTCCCATTGTAATTTATTTCTCAGTTGAGCCTTCACAGCTACCATACTTGTTAATGAATCTCTGAGGGTAACCTTTGTTTTTCAACATCTCTTCGAGATTCGTAAATTCTTCTTATTTTTCTGTAGAGCATATTCTCATAGCTCTATAACACAGAGTTTTGACTAGTAGTGTTTCATAGTCACTTGGAAATGTTGCCTTTATGTAAATTGACCCCCGGCGACTACTATCCACCAGGCGTTGCACGGCGATGTCAAGGACGTGAAAATTCCTACCACTTTCATTTTCCATAGTAAATTCAATTTTTGTATATACTTCGTTGAATAACGCGAGTAGGTAAGAGGCATCACTTTCATTATTGGACACTAAAAATATATCCTCTACATATCGGCAATAGGAAGTTGTTTCGCCGATCGCATGGTTCAACTTTGTTCTTTCCTGGTTGGATATGATGATATCTCCTAAAACAGGGCTAAATGAACTATCCATAGCTAGACTGTCTGTTTGGCGGTAAAGAATGTTTGCGAACTGGAATTGTGCATCCATGGTACACATTAGCATTAGGTGTTTGAATTGTATACATTAATATTTTTGTTAGCATCTTATCTGAATACTTTGAGACAATTTTTATGAGCCCTAAAATGTCTTCTTATATTCATTATGGGATATGTGAATCCGATTGTCTTGATTTTCTAAGATACTTTTTATTGAACAAACAGATATTGTGTAATATTTTCATTTTTCTGATACAAATAATAAAGGACATTTAAACATATGAAATAATTCATTGTGTTATTGCATTCTAGTTGTTTTAAAAAGAAATAAAGTTTTTATACTCAGGTGTACCTACACTGAACTACCCTATAGACAATAATTTTTGGAAGAATGATTTGTGACAGTTTAAATTTACTGCCTGTGAAGGCTATAGCTTTGAACTAACTGATGTAGAATTTAATGCAAGACGTATATTTCGGAGGCAGACTTTATTTCACAAGTGATTGCCCGAAAAAAAACACATTACCACATAAAATATAAGCAAATAAGATTATTAGCATAAACATCCCTTGATGATATTAGGTAGTTAAAGACAATCTGCAGGAATCCTTGTCTGATTCAGGTTTCGTGCAACATAGAAGGAACTCATGTCCCTTCTGAGATTTAAGCTCACGTTACCCAGTAATGCAGTTAGAGACGTTACCGCTGAGGTGTTCAGGCTTGCGAATGACCTCCTGTGGGACTGTAGTGGATAGTTTGATTGGACACTAGTAACTAGTGTGACGTGTCTAGTCCTTCCTTTAGTGTAGACTTAATTCTATCAGTCAGGTCAGCAATGTGGCCACAATTCTAAGTAGCTTGCCATCATGGTGCACATTGGTTTGATGATATTAGATAGTTGGAGGCTATTGGCAGGAAGCATTCCCTGATCTAGGTTTCATGCTAGTTGGCCCTCGTCAACAAGACGTCTCTGAAACTTTGAAGTAACTCTTGTCCCTTCCGAGATTCTGACGAGTGTCAGCTAGCATGAAACCTAGGTCAGAAAAGGCATCCTGACAATAGCCTCCAACTATCTAATATCATCAAAACAAATTGCACTGTGGTGGCGAGCTACCTGGAATGGTGGCCACATTGCAAACCTGACTGACAGAATTCAGTCTGCACCAAAGTAAGGACTAGACACATCACACTAGTTACTAGTGTCTTATCAAAATAAACATCCTTTACAGCATAAATCCAGTTAGCTTCATGAAAAATGTTACTGACCAAACTGAAGCATATAACTGCTTACTTCTACATGTTAAAACAGATTACACGTGTTCAGCTGATTAACTAAACGGAATCGTTTTTCACTTCAAGTACTAATCAAAAGACAAGCGATTCGGTGTTTGTTAACGCATCTTATGTATACTCTTGTATACCTAACTCATAAATGCATACATGAAACGGCTGCACGAAACTGATATTCACAAAGATTTCCTCCATGGTCAAAACCGTAAATATAACAATAACAATTATTAGATTATCTGTGACATTCACAATATTGTCGTGTGAGCTTTTAGTGATCCATTGTATAATTTTTGTATTGACCTAGATTTTATGCAACTTATTTTCAACTCATTCGACTTTAAGTAAAAGAATAGTGACAAAAGCAACAACTAAGTTTTATAAACATGTTTTATAAGTTTTATGAACCAACCAGCTCAGAGAACACCAATAATTGCAAATCACCCACCTGAGTTACAAATCTTCTCTATTATTTATAAACATGCATTCAGTAAGAAGTAACTAAATGCCGACTGAAAACAAATACGTAAATAGTGCTGGATTGTAAACTGCTAGTTAGAAATTTTACTAAATGATATTCATCACTGGCTTATATGAAGTGGTTGCAAATTAGTTTAAAGTTGCTGCTTTTTTTTCATAAGCAATGTTTGTTACATTTTCTGTAGGTCACTGACATCCCAGTATAATTAAATAGTATTAAATTTTAATCTCGAATGAGATCACGAATTGACATCTCTTACAGAACCATTCAGAACCAAGGAGTACGTGGCAGCCATTTCGTCCTACTTGATGACACTTCAGCAGTACACGTTGACAACCTCATGGGTGATCGAAAAAGGGACCTTCGAGTTATGATGGTGGCTCGTTGATTATTCCCTCACTGTGGAATTCACGTTATATACACTCATCACCAGCCAGTGTCATCAGTTATTATCATCTCACTCTACTAGACAGATCCCACTAGTCATGACCTTTCACTAGAACTTCAGGCTGCTGTATCCTATGGGTGCTGGTTTGCATCTGTTTGATCCACTTAATCAGGTGTGGCGATGGATATTTACTGATGACGTTGGCTGATGGTGGCCAGATGCACTGTTAGTCAGAAGTTGGGCTTCATAAGCTATTTTGTCCTGTCTTGCTGGCTGAATGGTCTAGAGGATTGCTTCATTACTTTGATAATGTTGTAAACGTCTGCAGCTAAAGTGTCACAGACTAGGATGTCCAGTACTTCTCGGTTTTTGATGATTCTCTAAGTAATATAAGTCGGTAGTCTTAATTAAAATCAGTCACAACCTTACCAACCGAAACCTGAATATTTTGACTTGATTCATGATTCCTATGTCGCTTAATAAAAACACAGATATGCACTGTGAAATATCACTTGCTTTCGTTTCCTTATTGAATGTTTGGATCTATACGCCAACATTATTTTTCGCAATCATTTTATATTTAGGAACAAAAGAAGCTTTGCTTTCTGTGCTCACAAATAGTCATCTACACGTGAAAAGTGAAAATTGTACAAATAATCCAAGCACAATTCTACGAATTAATTCAGTCCTGTGTAGCCCAATTTATTGTCGTTCTACTGATAAACCTATTGGAGTTCTTTGTTTAGTTAATAAGAAAGGAGAATCTCAGTAAGTTGAAATTCATTGAATTATTTGTTGTTGTTTTTCTCATTTCTGTGCGCTTACAACTGCATTGGCTTTCTTTACTTAGCTAATAAATATGTTGGCTATTATGAAGCAATGAAACAGACTTAGAAATCAACTAATTTTGAAACTTTTATACTCTGAGCACTTTGATTACTCACGTATTATCTCTCGTTACGGTTAAAATGAATACTAAATGTCTGGGAATTTCAGTTGTATGATCATAGCTTCAGTGAATGCTGACATCGTCGTCATAAGTGATATATCTGAAATAAAAGCTTATAGCTTTTCCACTGAATAATGAGATATTTTCCTTACAATTTAAAAAAAGAAAGATTTTGGGAGATCTTATAGATATTATTTATTATATTTGTTCTCTTTGGTTCAGACTGTATGACACTACTGCATGCCAATTAACCCAAAACAGAATACTCACGGTAACCTTTGACGTGGAGACCGGAGTAAGACAAGGCTGCCTACTGTCTCCAATGATTTTCCTGAGTGTGGTAAACTGGATAATGCGACAGACAGTGGGCCGGACGACGAGGAGACAGGCATAAAATTGACCCACACAAAAAAAACTTGGAATATCTGGACTTCGCTGATGATACATACACAAACTGGAAGATGTGCAAGTGAAAAGCAACAAGTTGGCAGAATAAGCATCGAGAGAAGATAGGAATTCAGGTGAACGTAGAGAAAACAGAAGTAATGAACATTCTTGGCCAACGGCAACAACAACAGACAATAATCAGCCAGCACAAATGGGAGGAACCTGAAAGAACCACCTTCTTTTACATAACTAAGTGGGAAACATCGTCTGAACTACAGGCGGGATTAAAGAAGATATCAAAACAAGGCTCGGAAAAGCAAGGGAAGCTTTCATTTCTCTCAAGTCTGTGTGAATGTTTGCGCCAATCAGCGAGGAAAATAAGATCAACTCCAATGAGAAGTCAGTCAGTGCTACTATAAGGATCAGAGATTTAGCCAGCTAGTCAGGAAGGCCACTTCGAACGAACTACAGAATTTCATCAACAGCTGTCTTCATTCAATACTACTCAAGATCAGATGGTCGGTCAGAAAAGATCAGCAGCAGAGATCTCTGGCGATGAGCGAACCAACCCAGCAGGAACAGATTGTGCAGCAGCTATGCAGGAGGAAATGGAGGTGGATTCGCTAAACTCCGAGGAAATCATCAAACGACATCACACGCCAGACAATCTCTCAAGCGTCACCCGAATCGGAAGCAGCGAGTTGGTCGTCAGTGCAAGGGTGTGGTGACATGGGGGGTTATGTGAGGAGGAGATGAAAGCTTGTAGGCGAACGTGGAGCCAGGTAAAAACGTTGGCAGAGAACCGAACGCAATGTAGACGTGCGGCTGAAGCCCAATGTTCCTCTAGGAACTAAAGGGAACAATCATAATAATGATTGGGTTCATACTGAAATTCCTCAACTGCTGTTGAATAAATGAAAATAAAAATGAGGTTTATTATAGATTTAAGGATGAAGCTACTCAACCAATAACAAATAGCACCAATCACTGCCGATCGGAGACAGTTGGAGGAATCCACTTCATTCATTAACTTGGATAGGTAGCATCGTCTTAACTCTAGGAAGAAAGGATAAGGATATCGAAGTCAGAGTTAGAAAAGCAGTACAAACATTCATTTATCTGCAATCATTGTGGAAATATGATGCACTCATTAAAATTAACAAAATTCGAATTTTCAAAACCAATGTTAAATTGGTCCTTTTATATGGTTCAGAGACTTGTGACTTGTGTCACTAAAAACATTTTCTGCAGGCTTTAGGCTTTTATCATTAGCTGCTTTCTTCATAATGAATATCAGATGGCCAGCTAGCTAGAAACGATAAGCAAAGAGAAACTCTGGCAACAAACCACACAAGAACTTATCGTCAATGAAATATGCAGACTAAAATGGATTTGGGTTGCACGCACACACACACACACTGAGAAGACCAGTGAGTGACATTACGCACCATGCCGTATTCATGGGACTTGAATTGGAATCTACTAGTTTAGCGTCTAATGATGATATTAAGGGGACCATTTGAGGGAGAGATATTAGTCTGTGGGCAGTTATGCAGCCATTTAGAAGGAACTACAAGGCACAGGATTAAAATGGAGATTCACCGCGGATGGCCTATATTCCACTCGGAACCCAGGCAAATCATAATAAAAATGATGATGATAAAAAATGTTGTTAAATAATTGAAATAGTTTTTAATTTCTCACTCTCCATGCAGGTTTACTCAAGAAGATGAATTTATTATCGATGAATGCTTCCGGTTTACTGCTCCCATTCTACTTAGTTCCTTGGCGTATCAAAATGAACGATATATTAGGGATAAAACAGAGGTAAGCCGAAAATAATACTTAGTGTGCATAATAATAATAAATGTGTACATATGAACCTAATCATGTCAGAAGTTTCAACACTCAGATCACAGCTTTTAGTGTAGACAGCCTCTGATAAGTTTGATTCACGTATTCCGCTGCTAATGAAGGACTGTATAACTAGACGTCCAAGACAGTGACGGCACGATAATAATAAAGTAGCCTCAAACAAAATGAAGACTCTAGTGTCGTAATTATGAATACAAATGAAGAAATCGACAGGAAATTAGTAAGGAAACACTTAGTACTGCCATTAGATTTGTGATAGGCAACTCAATATTTAACCCGAAAAGGTTACATTACAAACCCTAGGCGTTATCTTATTATATGAATATAAGTCAATGAGTAAAGCAGAATTTTGTTGTAATATTTTTTCGACTGCTAGCCATTTTGTAAGATTTCTTTGTGAAGTATCCTTTATCTTGCCTCCAGAATACACAATATAACTAAGATTCCTCATGTAATCACTTTCATAAAAATTGGTAACCTTAATGTTTATGAAATCAATGAATTTATCTTGAGATACTGTTATAAGTGTTTCAGGAATCTTTCACAACTAAGATGTACGTCAGTTGCTTGATAATCTCCTGATTATGTGTATATATATATTCAGCAAAATGGTATTACTCCTTGTTTTTGAATGCCCAGTTAATTCTTTTGTGTTCTCTTCCCCGTGGACTTTATTCGATTTGAACCAAGGATATGCTGAAAGTGGCTAGAAATATATTCATCCATATGATGGATTTAACGGATCTCCTCTTGAAAATTATGCAGGAAGCTCAAAATTTAACGAAAGCTGAAAGGTTAGCATTTTTAATACTCATTTATGTTGTTTTTTAAATGTTAACAAATAGACGATTTCTCTAGACTGTATGATATCCAAGATAAGTCCTTTTTTTCATTCCTTTACGTTCCAAGTAGAACGTAGGGCTTCAAACTGGAGCTTCGAAGTTTCGCTGGCAGTGGTGCTTATTTTTACGGAATTGGGGTTCTAGCTTCATGCCTAGCCTTCCCTCTTTACCAGTCTAATTACTCGCTTAGCGAGGCAAAGTAATGCGTCGGCCGGCGATCGAACCCCAAACCACGTGCGGAGTGATTGGCGAGTCTTCTACCTCTGTGCCACCGATGCATAAATGAGTCTTTAATCCCTTAGAAACGATTTTAAACAATCATCTTTTCCCTTGTAAGAAAGTATAATGGTTGTCTCCCACTGTCTGATGGAATAAGCAGCCGGCCTATTGACGGTTATACGTAAACTGATTACATTAATTTGAAGGTCTTTCGGGTCCTCTACGAGTAATGTAAGCTTAAGGTTCAAAATAAACGCAGGCACGCTTCACGTTGCTGACATGTATTTCCAAATAGTACTGAGAAAACAAGATCTCCAGAAACTGATTTCGAGCATTTCCGACGGTTGTGGTAAATAATTAAGATGATCGTATGCTTGTGAACTGTCGACATTCAAAGATTACTTGTGTTAATGTGACGATAAATTCAAATTCAGACTTTTCCCATGTTGAAGTACACGTCTGATATATTCATATATGTACAAATACGTTCTAATATGTATATTTTGTTGGCAAAATATTTACCAGTCATGACCAGTTGAATTAAGTTTCAGTATCGCGAGCAACCAGAATACAGATCTTGTGAATTTCCTGAAGTAATTTGAGTACCCACAGAAGTTTGATTTCCACAGAATTACTTGACAATCACTTGGATTATGTGAAAAATTGAAGTGAATCTGAGTAAAGCAAGAACAATGGTGGTTTGTGCAGAATAATGTGGTACCGTCATTTATTTCATCGGCTTCTCACCAGATGCTTAGAGCCTAAATAAATTATGAGGTTTATGCATAGAAACGCTTTATTATACTGGTAAATTTCTCATGATGTCAGTTGACAGGAGGTTCAGGAATTAGTGAACAGTGCTCGAACCACCCTTGTTCTTCCTTTGTTCAAATTCATCATAGTGAATAAATGCATGAAGATAAATTGAATCTGTCTGACATTTAGTACGAATAGCTGCCAGTATCTGACTTTCTGAAGATTTCACTTTAGTTTATCCTCTATTTCTTACTCTATATTTTGATTTTTAATAAAATTCCGGGTAAATCTACTAAATAAGCTGTGGATTACACGGAGAAATGTTCACAGAAATAGTAGTTTATCTTTCTAAATGCACAGAGATTATCTTGAATAATATTTTAAGCATTTCATAAGGTAGTCGTATGCAGGCTTTCTTGTTTGTGTTACAGTGAGTTACATATCTCTTAGATCAGTTAGTTTCGTTTATGGATTTCGAAAAAAAAACAATTAGAAGATTACATTTTTCTGGTTCATGTAATATATTTCCGCAACACATTTCGGATATTCTAGTCACACACACACACTTCTCGCACATGTTTATATAAAAAAGCAATGGAGCATATATGACCATAACTATTATCAGTGTAAATCGAAATGTTTAAGAGTCACGATCAGAGAGAGGGAAGGGAATAGTGAAGAATAAGCGGGAAAAATATTAAGTAAAATAAGTCCTGTTTCCAAAATTGGATTACTAAAGTAGGTTCGAAGTAATAACAAATAATTTTTTAAACACATAAAGTAGGTGTAAGCCTTTTTGTGGCTAAGGGTTCAACGAATTAGGTTACATGACCTAAACTCATTCAATTAACATATATGTTTAAAATCACTATTGCAATCAGCTTTATAACCTGTCTGTATAGTGTGCTTAGGGATAGCTAACCTTGAATGACTATTTATGGGATTAATGAATCAGGTGGTTTTATTTTTTCTTGAGACCATTTGGAAATATGTTCTGTATCCTTGACCTGAAGAGGTGAATATGTCCTTCCTACGTACGTGTGACCATACATACACTCAAATCCGTTAACGTTGGGGAATGCATCCCTAGATTAACGATCATGTAAAGAGTTTACAGGACAACATAAGTCCTCCTGCCTCGATGAAAATAAGCGTAGATGCGCAGTAAGTTCTGTTGAGTACATCTGCATGCTTTTTATTGATCAGACATTGGTGGTCACCTTATAGCGTAAAGTTATATAAACACCATTTTTCAAATTTTACTCAGTTTTGGGGCAATTTAGTTGACGCTGCTATAGCGTTTAATAAATTTCTGTGGATAATTATTATCTACAAGTATTTTATTTAGTTTCTGAATTTCTTATTCAATGGTATCTCCTTTACACTTACTTAACAAACGACCTTTTATATTATGGAGTAATAATTTAGATACTGTCCCATTCACATGGACAGATTGTTTTACTACCCCATCCACGAGTTATAAGTACATTTAAAAACACCAACCAGTCTTTATTTTCTCCCACGCATCTTACCGATATGCCGTTTTTGAAGTGCATTCTTCCACTTAAAAATTTCTATGACATCTGTCACTTTGTCACTAATTACTATAATGCCATCCACATACTTTTTTTAAAAATAGACTTTTCTAATTAAGTCTTCAGCTAGATTCTAAACATGTGACGTGTATATAAATCAACTGACAATGAACCTAAGGGAATTCACAATTACACGGGTGATTAGAATGTTCAAAACTTGTTGTACAAATACATTATACGAATGAAAAAATTATCTCTTAATACTGTTAAATTTCTTGACCTGAAACCGTGCACATTAGTTAAGGATTTTCGCTGTAATGACGCTTGGTAACAGCTTTTAACATCATTTTCACTAGTGTAAGGACTATAGAAGACTATGCGGCAGCAACTGTTGCGAATTCTGAAGATCAAAACAAGTGATTCAGCGAAGAGACTCTTTTCAAGGAATTTGTCATTAACGTGTACAGTCGTATCTATATGGTTTTTAAGGAGTTATCTCCGGTGAGGGAATTGAATCTTGGGTGTGAATGCATACCATAATAATAATAATATGAAGTGCAATAAAAACTAAAATGTTTGTGATTATAATCGTAGTTAAATGTCAAGCTTTGATTATCGAAAAGCCAGATCTGTGTGTACAGAAAAAGTTCGTTCAACCCCTCCAACTTTCATGTTCTTAAGCTCTCTGTGCTAAAGTATGGTAATCCCCAATCATATTTTAGCTCTACCATTTCTTCATTTTTTTAAATTTTTTCTATTCAGTTTGTATACACCTCCTTATTACGTCAATTGTTTCTATCATTGTTCTCACTTTGAACTGTCCCCCGTATTATTTCACTTGTTCCACTTGTCATTCTAAATCAATTGTTTTTTACAACGATAAATTCTATGCTATTAAATTTCACACAATATTACGTAACACTTTAGGTTTTATTCGATTTGTCTACTAATCCTATAGTTGCACACCCTTTTTCAAGTTCTATCCATCCTGTGAATTATTCTATATATAACATTAATTTGCTTTGCCACTTGACATTTAACTACGATTATAATCACAAACATTTTAGTTTTAATCGAACTTCATATTATTATTATTATTATTATGGTATGCATTCACACCCAAGATTCAATTCCCTCACCGGAGATAACTCCTTAAAAACCATATAGATACGACTGTACACGTTAATGACAAATTCCTTGAAAAGAGTCTCTTCGCTGAATCACTTGTTTTGATTTTCTAAATGTTACAATGGGAATTTTCCATGAGTTAAAGAATTCTGAAAATCTCTCTTTCTTCCTAGTGTCCTGTTTTGCACTGAGCTAGCACATGGGATACCGAATTTTGTCAAATTTATCCATTAAAATTCAGCTCTATACTTTGTGTTTAAAATTATATCTGCGTTACAGTAATTTTTATCCTCCATTTTCCTGCTGAACTGTGTTTTAATAGCTTTTGAATGGAACATGTATTAACTATCATTATATCAAACAAATATCTAGTATCCAACATGTGGTTTGGTTCCCGTAGGAAAATATTTCTCTGTATATTGTAACACGGTATTCATTTTCGGATACCTAAGAAGTAGCACACAAAGTGTGCTTATGTTAAATAACTTTATGAAAAACTGGAAGAAACACCTCAGTTAAACAAAGTGGATTTCTTACTACTTACAAATCATATCTGACCTTCCTTTTCGTGACCTGTGTGTGTCTCTTTCTAATGCTACTTTCATTCATGTGCTACAACATTATTACCTTCTGTTCACTTGTATTCAATATTTTTCAGTGTTATGAAGTTCTATTTCTATTTATCAAAAAATAATGTGTATCGGTCGTACAGCGATAGAATGCTCACCAACCACACACGTGGTCCGGGGTTCTATCACTGGCCACTGACTCACTCCTTTATCTCGCTAAGCCAGTAATGAGACTGCTAAAAATCGAAACTCAAGCATGAGGCTAGCAATCCCATCCTGTAAAAATAAACACCACTGCTACCTAAACTTCAAGCCTCTAGCTTGAATCCTTATGTTCCACTGGGAATGTGAAGGAACAGGGAAATAAATAAATACATCACTAAGTGATGCTACCTCTTCCATATCAGTCATCGATATGAAAATAAACCATTTGAATTATTTTTCATTCAGTAAATCAGTCTCAATTCTGACAAAATCCGTTATGGGTTTGTGACACAGGATGGATCAGTTGAAATACTTAAATCAAATTAATAAGTTTGGCCTTGATCGTTATGCCAGAAGAGAAGGCCAACAAAATAATTCTAAGTATTTCTCAGTATGGTCACCAAGAAAAGCAATACATTTAATGGCTTAAAAATCTGCTGTGAAGCGGATATTTCATAAAGTTCAGCTTGAAATTTCGCTAAGCAAGAATATACTCAGAGAATCACGACTCACAGAAGTTTATGCAACTACATTTCACTATATCTTTGTAATCTATGAGAGGCTTCTCAGCTATTCACCGGAAGTTTCTTCAAACATGAAAAGGAAGTTTTGGTATTATTTCAAAATCTCATTTTCTTTAACATAAATAATCTTATAGGTTTTCGAAACCGTTTATTTATGTCAAAGGTATCAGATTACAAGGGTGAGACTGTAAACTCACTACTCTCTTTTCAAGAATGAATTCAACTCAATTCTAACCTACTTTTTTTAATGAATCATATTTGTTTTCTCATTTATATATTCAGATGTTCAGTATTCCTACTTGATTCAGAAACTGATGTGCTAGTGGCAAAAGTTTTGGATGGATTACCGACTGCGCCGAATAAAAATGCAAGTTCCTTTATATCTATTTTACAGATCATTTCAATCAGTAAAGTCTAAATTTAGTTTCAACAGAGTTTTATTCTCTTCACATCCAGTATGTACGAATGTGATAGAAGCAGAGCTTAGATACTGACCATCCATACGCGTTGTTTACCTACGAAATTTACCGTTACTTGTAAATACATACATAAGTTTGAGGTGTATACAAGATTCGTATTTACGGATAAAAGATTCCTAAAACTTTAAGTCGAAATAAAATTTTATAAAGTTTATGAAAAAACCATACACTCTTCATGAAAAAATCGAGAAACCCTATGCTAAGAAAATTTTACTGACGCATAGTCTTCATCTTTTTATCCAAATAATGATTTTCAAATTTTGACAGACGCGTTATAGGCTACTGGATTCTCAAATACAGACAAAAAAATAAACGCTTGGGGAATTCAAGTGTTTTTACTGCATTCCAACTTCTTCCATAAATGTTCTCTTACGAATAGACCCATATCTTAATGCCAGCATCCTCTCATTGTTATAGTTCCTTTCGATTGCTAGTGAGATGTAGGGCTTCAAGAGCACATAGTCATTTTACTATGTTCTCTGAAGTTCGTCTTAACTGACTTTTGACCGCCCATAAACATTGATCTCCTCACAACAATCAAGTAGCTTTAAAATCCCCATTGAGTTATATGAAAAAGAGAAGACGTTCAGCGAAGATATTCTTTTCAGCGAATTCATTCAAATAACTGTACAATCACATTTATATATAATTATTTTGTGTGTGTGTGTGTTCATGAGGTTTGTCAAGTTTAGATAATTAATTAGGTAATACAAGAATGATCTAATATAGAAACAAGGTTAATTAGACAGCATCTAAAGTATGATTGAGTTAGTAAGTTGGATGACGTAATATAATTGACTAAAATGTCTCAACTTAGGTCAGGGCAGCAACAGAGGCAATTACAAGTAGAAACTGAGTAGAGGTCTGGTAGAGAACAATTCCATTTAAATTAGGACTTAAGTTGAGCAAATAAATTGGATGACGTATCATAAATGACCAGAAATTGAGCGTTAGTCGAGTCAGTAACAGTGGTAATGAAGTGTAGAAATTAAATCGGGTGCAGGTAGAGGACAGGAAAGTTGAAAATGTAAAATATTACGATTGTAAGGATAAAATAATACTATTGAAGAAACAGAAAGAAATAGAATTTGCCTGTCGGGTATTAAGGTAGGTTACGCCTATCGCAAGTTTAGTGACTGAACGGACTTCATCCGTATGCAGAGTTCAGAGCTTACCAAGTGAATCGCCATTACTTCTGCAGTTTTGAGAAGTTTGACTCGTACACTTTTGTGAAGACTGCTTTGTATTCTGTAGACGACTTCGAAGTTTGTTTGGGATTTGGCTTGGTGTCCAGATAGATCCCGGTGTTTTTCTGTGATGAGAGTTAAAGAAAGCTGTTATGGAATCTTCAAAATCCCTGTATTCAGTGTTTTAAGTCTCAATCTCTGCCACACAGAATTCATTACTGGAATAAAACTGAAGCAAAGACTAAATTTTTATCTTTTCACTTTGAATCAGTTAAAAATTACTAAACCACTACTTATTCTTTCTTTTTAAAGTTTAATCCCCGTTTATTGATGTGAATAAAGCAACAACAACAGTCTGTGGAAAATAAGATGGTGTCATCATTCATTTCATCCAGGGACTCCACACTTATTAAACAAAGCTGAGAAATCATACTTATATAGCTTATACCCAAAAAGTTTAAAATTTAGGCGAAAAAGAAATGCTTGCCATTGTATCCAAGGCCTTTCTTTTATTTAAACTTAAACATTCTGTGTGCAAGTTATATTAGCACTATTTATGAAGTTTGAAGCCTCCAAATAAATGAAATTATGTAACATTTAAAAGTATGTTAGGACTATCTTGTACGTGCAGTCAATTTCTGTAGGCTGCATGCAGATGATAAGAAGATGACGAAATAAATGATGGTAAGGTCTTATTCTACACAGAATCTTGTTTCTGCTTTAGATTCCTTGGTAACTTGACAACTAATCAACATCTCAGTACTGCATACTTGAGCTAATAGAACAAGGTGAAGCAAAGAAACATTAGACAGTTTCCCAGATCGAAATTGAACTTATTCATAAGTAATAAAATGATCTAATGAGTGGTTAATTTTAATTGAAAAAAATCAGTTGCACTCTATCTATTAAACAGCATGGCTGAAGCTAATAGCCATTTTTCCCTCTACTGCAATCACCCACTTAGCAATTTGTCGTGACGCAACAGTGAGTTTTTCGCCAAGTCACTCACTAAAAAGTCCTCCTTAGACCCGGCCTTTCGCTTCACCCTCGACAGCTTTCATTACTAGAGTTTTCTAATTCAAAATTGCCTAGCACTCTAAGAAAAATCAAATTTACTTTATCCTACTTCGTAGTCATGGAAGCTTCAGAGTAGTTTCCGTATATATTTTCAAACAAATGCTGTCACCAATAAGTATACTTTTTCTTAAGTAAAACAATCCTACTTTTACTTCATAATTAATGAAATAATTGCAATAAAGTTAATAAATATTTTTCAGTAATGGTGCTTGATATCATGACTAGAATCTAAATATTTTAAAAAATAGTCGTCTAGTTGTCGCCATTTTTAACGGTTAAGGTCATTCTCATCAGCAATTTAGGTTGCACTTCAAAGCATTTTTCCCTAAACCATTAATTTTTATCATTTAATTCTTGTAATCAACGGGAGACATTTAACAGAGGTCTTCACTTATCTAAGAAGCATCGTTTCAACTACAGGTGGAACGGACGAAGATGTCAACGTCAGAATTGGAAAGGCAAGATACGCCTTCATCAACTAACTTGAAAGCAGTTTGGAAATCTTTCGCACTCAGCATAAGGAACAAGATTCGGATTTTCAGCGCCAATGTAAAATCGGTTCTTCTATGCGGGTCAGAAACGTGCACTGTGTGTCAGTCACGAAAAGGATTTTCAACAGGTTGCAAACCTTCATTAACAGATGCCTTCTCTGGCTGCATACTGAAGATCAAATAACTGGCCATAAAGAATTATTAACAGGAATCTATGGGTAAAAAAGACAGACAAAAGCTGATGGCTCAACAAATATGCAGGAGAAAGGGAGATGGATCGGACATACGTTGAGGATGCCGCCGATTGACATCGCACGCCAGGCCACTGCTCAAGTGGAATCCAGACGGGAAGCAACGAAGGAGACCGTGTGAAGAAGAGATGATAGAGTTTTGGCGATTGTGAACCTAGATAAAGAGGACGGCGGAAAAGGGAACAAAGTGGAGATGTGTTGCTGCAGCCATATGTTTCACTCGGAAAGCAAGGGAATAATAATAATAATAATTCTAGTGATATATCATGTTAGTGGAACTGAGGATAGAGTGTCTTTTTTTCCCCACATACTTAAATTGCTGGCGTAATGAACTTTTAGTAATCAAAGCGATTGATTGTTTTATCATTAGACACATTAACTACAAAGATTCTTTGGAAAACACTTCTGATATAATGAGTCAAACGCTAGCTAGACTGTTCCTTTAAATGACCATAAGTTTTACAACCTTAGATGATACGTCGTTATGAAACTGTTGTGATTCGACCACCACCATGAACAAGAAGAAGAAAACGTTTATTTCTAATAACTCATATAGAAAGTCATAGATTTCCTCGCTTATTTTGTGATACCATTTTACCGTTTCTTTTTACAGACAACGTTTACCACAGCAGAGGGAAAAGTGGTTACGGTACGTGATAAAAAGCCAATTTTGTCTTTATCATAAAGAGATTACATGTAACTTTTATTGTAACAGATGGTAATTTGTGTAAACCAGCAACATGTTCTAAATATCGGTTTACTTCCAATCAAATTTCAAATCAATACAAGGCTTGACTGGTTTAATTTACCACACTTCTAGTTAACTATTTCTAGGCGAAGGTAGTCATATTATTTTGATGTATCACACCATATGTTATACAATGATCGATATTCTAAAAATTTCAAAGAATTAACCAATACTGTTGAGTGGTATTTAAAATTCGCCTCATTTTAAGCTTTACTAGAAAAATTTCTTATATCTTCTGTCACGACGAGAGGAAACTTCTACAACGAAGTACTAAGACTTAAGGAGCAAAGGAGAGTTTTCGAATTATTATATTTACCTTCGAGATTACTATATACCGTTCTTATATATATATATTAAATAATAGAGTCTTATGTTTCGCTTATAAATACCCCGAACTTTAATTCTTTTTTGTGCTTCAGTATGTTTACAAAAGAAATCTACTAACTAGAAATTTATAGGTTATTTCTTTAACATTTAGTCAGTGTCATTATTTTTTAAGTTTAAATTTATAGAGATTTGATTAGTATGACATTATTTATAGAGCCAGTGAAAATCAGGGAGTACTGGACAGCTGTTTGACCCTACTGCGGGACTCTTTAGTCGTAGGCACTCATGACCCCACCTGGTGTCGAAGATAAAGCCTTCAGGTTAAGAGGGGAGCTCGTTGACTATCCAACCATTAGAACGAAATCCAATGGCACATGAATCATAACTTCTATCACAGACAGCCAACGCGCAGGTAGCACAGCGGTAGAGTTCTTGGCGACCACGTCCCACGTGGTCTGGGGTTCAATCATCGGCCGACGCACTTCTTCACTTCGTATAGTCAGTAATAAGACTGGTAAAGAAGGAAAGTTAGGCGTGAGGCTAGCAATCTAATCTCGTAAAAATAAACACCGCTTCTATCGAAACTTCAAGCCTCTAGATTGAAGCCCTATGTTCCACTGGGAACGCAAAAGAATAAAAAAGCCAGCCAATGCGATGGGTGATTATATATCATCAAATCCTTTCTAGTAGATCTGACTGGTAACAGAGTATCACTAGAACTTCAAGCAATTTCATTCAATTGACAGTCAATAGTTAGCATCAGATTATTTGTTTATCCCAATGTTTTTTTTCAATTTCTCTACTTTCCCTTTCTGTTCTCAAATATATTTTAGTTACCAGAGGAAATTCGATTAAGTTTAAATCAAGGCATTGCCGGATACGTGGCTACAACTGGTAGGTAGATTTTGTCTCAGTAAATATGTTGTTGTTTTTCTTTGTATATGAGTGTTATGCAGTGATTAAAATACTTCCTAAGGGTTTCAGTGTTTCTAACACATAGTATTGTTTGCTACTTACTGATTCAAGTACCCATTGAATTCATAAATATAAATTTTGCAGTCTATCGACTGGCTTCATTCAGTGTCGTTTTTGATGACAGTTCTTTTTCAGGGCCGTGATATTATACCTCTGACTGAGAAAGCCTAATACCCAGACTTTGATGTTTACAAAATTTTATGCGTTGAAAGCTATCTGCCTTAATATCTGATAATTCAAAAGTTTGTGTGAGAAAAATTCACAATCCGGTGATAGTATTGGACTTATTTTGTTGCTGCTCAAATTGTGTAGTCGCTTTGTCTTGGTAAATGATAATCAGACACAAAAATGAAGTCCTGTTGTCTTGTTTTATGGATTCCATAGACGTTTCACAAATACATTTCTTTGGTTATGGTGAATCATAAATCACCATGTTGTCTGACTTAAAAATTCTGGGTTTAATCAACAGCCTCCTTTACCTATCTGAGAAGTATCATTTCAACTACAGGCGGACGGAAATGATGAGGACATGAAAGCCAGAATCAAAACAGCAAAACAAGCTTTCATTACTCTTAAGTCTGTGTGGAGATCAACAACACTCAGCATGAGAACGGAAATAAGATTCGGATTTTCAACTCCAATGTGAAGTCAGTCAGTGCTACTATATGGATCAGAGACTTGGCGCATCACAAAGAGCATCTCAAACAAACTTCAGACTTCCATCAACAGTTGTCTTGGCTGAATACGACTCAAGATCTGATGGCCGGCCAGAAAAGATCAGCAACAGGGATCTCTGGCAATGAGCGAACCAACCAGGAACCGATTGTAAAACAAATAGGCAGGAAGAAATTGAGATGGATTTGCCATACGCTGAGGAAACCATCAAGTGAAATCACTAGACAACTCATTGCTCGAGTGGAACCTGGACGGAAAGCGACGAGCTGGTCGTCCAGGCGTGACATGGAGGAGGTCATGTGAAGAGGAGATGAAAGCGTGTGGGCAGACTTGGAGCGGGGTGAAAACGTTGGCGGAGAACCGAACGCAATGGAGACGCGCGGCTGAAGCCCAATGTTGCTCTAGGAATTAAAGGAAATAATAATAATCAATAATCATTTCTGTGTACATTAAAACAATGAGATTCAAGTTGATCTGTTGGTCTCTATTACCCAACATCCCTTAGGGATGCAAAAGCGTACCTCAGCTTACCTGATTGGTGATATTCGGCTTCTGTTGAATCTGGTCCAACTAAAACACTTGCATATACAAATAGAGTAGCCACATTCAATAGATCTCTAGTATATATAAATGACATAAACACATATATCATAATGATTGAATGAGTTTCCACGCAGAATTTTGATCAATGGCGCACCAATTCAGACTGCCACACTTCATTTAAACAAAGGAGTGGAAATAATAATTTCAAAAAATCAGTAATAAAAAGTAGAAACATGAGGAAAAATAAGAGAAACCTAGAAAAAGAGGACGGTTTACTGGATATGAAGATCATAGAGAGTGAATGCCTCTGCTCCACTGAGATAAATTTTCAACCATATCACAAATTATCCTCAGACACTAGTTAAAAACATCTGAAACATCTCAGCCAGCTGCTCTATACTTCCCTACTATAACTATAAAAGGCTTCTTCAATTGGCTTCAGGTTTGACTTTACCACCCCTAACTCTTTTATATCTCAACCCTATGTTGGTTACCATTGTTGGTAGAGGAGACTAGTGACTTGGCAGGTTCAACACTTGTCCAAGCCATTACATTCAAAACCGCATCGATTGTCTTATCCTCCTTACCCAACACTTTACGCTCAACCTTAACACTACTTACCAAACTATACCACCGAACATGGGATGTGTAAAGCAGACAAATATGAGCAAAGATAACCAGCTTTTTCATATCTTCCACTTCAAATAGTCATATCTCCCAGCCATGATTGAGCATATATATATAATAAATCCAATTCAACTAACATAAATTAGGAGGGTCATATGTGAACATGACAAAACCACAGCTTTTAAAATGAATCATTGGTAATGACTCTCCTATTTTTCATATGATTTTCAAATAAGATAAGATCTACGTTAACCATTGTTATTTTGGTCAATATGAAAATTTTTATTAGGTATACTTTCTACTGAAACTTATGAGAGCTTAGAATTAGCTGATCCTTATTATTCAATTTCAGTCATTCAAAAAGTCATCTGAAGTTGTTTTTGCTGATAAGCTTCCGTTTGATTTATATACTCTATCAAACCTATCCTGTCTTTTTATTTCATAAGATTAAATCTGTTAGTTCTGTCTATCATGCATTAGTTTTACTATACACCATTTGACTATAATTAGGTCAAAAAATGGGCGTACACTAACCAAAGCTCTATCACTCCAGAAAATTGCAAATAATGCTGTCCATTGACTTAGCCTGCTTCATAAATATAAACTAGATGATTTACAGATAACCTGCCTATGTATCTAATCCCGGCTATCAAAGTCAATAATAGACATATGTCTAAGTATTAGTGACATGTGTGTATGTGTACAAACAAAGAAAAGCATTCAACTTCTAAATAAAAATGGGTAGGTTTTACGTACAATAGAAGACTAAATATTATTATCCTGACTAGCATAATGAACGATTAAGGTTTGAATACAAATACAAAAAAAACTTTAGTAATATACACTTCTTGGTTTTAAATAATACCAGAGAACTTGGAAGTACTCAGACTTTGAGAAGTATAAGAATAAAACTTGTGCACTGTGGTAGAGTGTAATTCCATTATAGGCAAAATTTGTTTTGATAAAGTCTTTCAGTGTTATACAGTAATTGCATGGAGGATTTAATCATGAGCTGACATCAGTTAGAGAACCACTGGAAAACCTGGGAGTACTGGACAGTCGTTTCGTCCTAGTTTGGGACTCCTCAGCAGTACGCACCCACCGGGATTCGAACCCAGGACCTTCTGGTTACAAGGCGAGCTCGTAGACCATTGAGCCACTGGGACCCAATCCAATGGTCCTTGAATTCTAACTTCTGCCAGTTCACGACATAGCGCGACCACTTCGCAATGTCTTCTTTGATGAGTTACTGCCTCATCTTCGACCTGCTGTACCCTACTGGTCACGGCTTCCCACTAGAACAGTAATGTTTACTGATGACGTTTCGAGCACAATTTATTGCTCATAATCATATCAAGGTTATCACACGACTTCCTAAATTCATTTATATAGTTCCATTGTTTTTCTCTTGATTTTCACTTGATTTGATTGGTAATAGTATTTTCCATATTTCAGGTATGAGTGACGAGTCATTCCTATTGCATGTGTTGGGTGTAGACTCGATGAACCAGTCAGGATTCAGTAATCAACCTCTCTCTCCACCTACCTAGATTACTTTTTAGAATTTTAACCCTCTCCCACCCTATTGTGTGGTTGTGTGTTAGCGCATGCATTGCAATTGCTGAGCTTTTTTCTAAATTATTTATCTTCTCGGGGTCAACCATTCTTACCTTAGCTAAATTTTTATGCTCTGACAATCTGACTACCCCTGACCTACTAGTTTGACCTATGTAGTTGACCTCACAGTCATTGCATGGTATTTTGTAAATAATATTATTTTGTCTAATTGGGTCAACTGGGTCCTTTAACCTACAGAGCTTGTCTCTGAGTGACTTTGTAGGTTTAAATGCCACCCTAATTCCTATTTTATTCAGAATCCTACTTAGGGAGGGTCTCAGATGTCCCCTCTTTATATGGTACAACTGTGGATGACTTATATTCTTTCTTATTTATGTTATTATTACTAGTTTCACAATTATTTTTATTTTGTTTTTGGCCTTTAATGATCTTCCTAATGAATTTTATAGGATAGTTATTCAACATCAACGCTTCTTCTATCTGTTTTAATTCATCATTTAGATCTTTTTTTGTGCTACTTAGTGCCACTGCTCGGTTTGTTAAACATTTAACTAAGCCTGCCTTAACGGTTAAAGGATGAGACGAATTAAAGTCTAAATATCTATTAGAATGCGTTGGTTTTCTATAAACACTAGTGTGTAGTTTGCCTTCTTCTATTCTTTTTATCTTACAATCTAACATAGCTAATTCTCCTTGTTCATTTTCTGATTCAAATGTGAATTTTATTCCTTAAACTTGTGAGTTTATATGTGTCAAGAAGCTAGAGATGTGTTCTGTTTTTAGCACTGTGAAAGTGTCATCCACATACCTCCACCATATTTTCGGAGTAGGGTTAAATGTATTGAGAGCACTATTTGAGAAGTACACTAAAAAGTACATTTATTGAGCTGAGATAGAAGTGCTGTGAAAGGAAATAGTATTCTCAGGCAACCAATACACACTTTTTTTTAATCATAATAATTTATCTGTGTGAGAAAAACGTATTCAGGTCATATACCCTTTAATAGTTAGCCAGTGGTATTACCATCCTGGTTATCTTTTTCAATCGTGTCTTTATAACAAAGCAAGTGTAGTGAGAAAACCATGATGTCAGGCTACATCTTATTTACGTTTCTCACTGTATTCATTCTTTCTTTGCAGGTGAACTACTCAATATTAAAGATGCTTATGCACATCCTTTGTTTTATCGGGGAGTGGATGAAGAGACCGGATTTCGTACACGGTTAGTATAACGCCTTGTTTTTTTTTATTACTCAATAATAACGATCGATGGATGAGTCCTTCTGTATAACCAACCAAACTTCCTCGAGTGACTTACAGTCCCAATATCATTTCTTAACATTACCATAAAGACAGTAATGTGCTATAAAATCTGTAGCACTATCAAACAATAATAAAAACGTCGAAAACACAAAATAACCTCAACAATGACGATAGGCAGCCATATCAATAATTTTTCTTTCACGTTCCCAGTGGAACAAAGGGCTTCAAGCGACTGGCTTGAAGTTTCTGTAGCACTGTTTATTTTTACACGATGGGGTTGCTAGCCTCATACCCAGCCTTCCTTCTTTACCAGCATCTCTTCTGGCTTAACGAGGTAAAGGAATGTGTCGACCGCGGATCGAACCTCGGACCATGTGCATAGTAGGCGAGCGTCCTAACCACTGTGCTACTGACGGAAGATAGGCAGCTATACCGTCCAAGAATTAATCAAGTACAAAACAGCAAAAATAGTCAACTAAAAACCAACTGTAAGAAGTGCCTATAAATCAAAGAGCATATTTCCAATTAGGTGGAATTAAAACCCCAATGGATAAGAATAAACTCACCAAACATTTCCCGGTGACAGTCAAAAGTCAAAATCCTCAAAGTATAACCTTGAATTCATTCAAGGCAAATTTCAGTCGTTAAAGAACACATTATCATTAACATTCTACTATCAAATCTTTAAATATTCCCATTTATAATATTAGAACAAGACATATAAGCGAACAATATTGTTTTCAATTAGATCTTCTTCATGCTTTACTCTAATTTACACAGACTTATATAATATTATAATCATCGCTATTAACTTCGTTCAAAACATTTACCACATTATTATTACTACTATTATTATGATTATTATTATTATGATTACTATTATTATTTGATCCACAAAATCATCGTCATTGGTTAAAATTTTATATATATAAGTCTATGTAAATTAGAGTAAAGCCTGAAGAAGATCTAATTGAAAACAACATTGTTCGCTTACATGTCTTATTCTACTATCACCCAATAGTTAAGTGGAACGTTAAAAATAGGAATCAACCACAATCAAAGAACGATAATGAGGATGAAATCCAAGGAAAATGTGACATACAGGTGGAAACCGTAATAATTACACAGTTAGTTAAATATATCCAAATAAGATTGTTTAATGAGGGAGTAGGGTTCATTTTCTAATCATTTATCCCGTCCAACAGTGATACAAGTCTGTAGTTAGCCTTTTAGACAACCTCCCAGTATTTTGCTTTTTACGCTATATGGTCATACACTGGAATGCAATTAAGCACATAAGTTACACACAAAATGGCATCTGTTGCCTTCAATCACGAAATAAAACAGCGTACATATTACTTTTGGTAATATCCGGATTCACAGTCAGATAGTTGCTGATTAGGATATGGAATCGACCCCTATTCAACTGTCATCCATAGTGTTAACATCTCCCTACACTTTTATCTCAGTTTCATATGATGTCAATAAACCTTGTTACGTTTGGAAGCAAATACATAAATCTCATCAAGTTTATCCATTAGTCCTTGCGTAATGCCGTCTTCCAACAAACATTTTAGGTGAGCAAATCAATAAAACAACTTCAATTTTGAGGAAGCAGGCGATTGAAGCATGCTAACTTATACAAAACAAATAATGTCTTCATTATTTCAAAAAGAACCTAGATGTAAGCATCAACGCAGATGATATTCATTAGCAAACCTAAAGAAAAAGAATAAATATTACAAAAAAATTTCACTATTTCCTTCAAGATTCTGCTTGTAAAAATACTTTGCAAATCAAAACACTTTTAAAAAAAACACTGAATGCTGTCAAAATAAAATACAACAAAACTATTTAGATTTAACGTAAAGTGTGTTGAGAAAAATGTATTTGAAGCATTCAGAAGCGAGGCATACAGTACATAGTTGAGATTCCAATGTCGTTGTTTTCTTAATCCCTTTACGTTCCCAGTAGAACATAGGGCTTCAAGCTAGAACTTCGAAATTTCACTGGGAGTGGTGTTTATTTTTACAAGATGGGTTGCTAGCCTCACACCCAACCTTCCCTCTTAACCAGTCTTATCACTTACTTAGCGAGGTAAAGGAGTATGCCGGCAGCAGATTGAACCCCTAACCCCATGCGTAGTTGGTGAGCGTTCTACCACTGTGATACCGATCCAGTGTCAATGAATTCATATTAAATCAGTATCGTTTTATTGGGAGGGATTAATCTGAAATATCGTCTTAACTGAAATGAGAGGCGAAAACGTAATGGGGTTTCATAAATATGGTTAGTTTCAACAGTACTCTAGAAAATTAACTTATCCACGTTCATCTGTGCAATTAATTAATATGCAAATATATTCTATTGTTTAGCAAACAGGAAATTAATTCTCATTCATCTGATTAAGCTGACTACAATTTATTCTACATGCCTTTTTTTTTGCTGCTAATTTACTCATATTTATCTTTTATGCTTGCTTACTAATCTATTTATTGTAGAAACATTCTATGCTTTCCGATAAAAAATGAAAAAGATGGTATTGTTGGAGTTGCACAGTTATGCAATAAAATCAATCATCCATTTTTCACTAAAGCTGATGAAGATGTGGCGAAAACATTTTCAATATACTGCTGTATTAGTATTGTACATGTAAGTCATTTTTATAACACTGTATATCAGTGTAAGTGTGTATGTATGTGCAAGTCTGCTTTATGCATTCATTGTCATGTGCATACCTGCTTCAAAACTCACAGTATTCTTCTTTTTTTTCAGTCACTAATGTACAAACATGTACAAGATGCTCAACATCGTACCAAACTGGCAAATGAATTAATGATGTACCATATGAAGGTAAGAATAGTAGAAGTATTTACTCTAATAAAGTGTAGAATAATCACTAAATTGTGTCACAGATGAGCCACACTAAACGTCATAGACTGTAGGAGGACTGAGATACAATTCAGATACCTAGACCAAAATAAGTGGTTGTCTGAAGCAGCCAAAATCTCTTACCGATCGTTTGACTTAAGGTTTGATTCACAAGGCATTGGGAAAGCTTGGGGAGCTACGTTCCCATTGTTTCAGGTGATAGAAACAGGTAAACACACCATTTGGTCCTTTTGGATCTGGAACTGATGTAAACCATAAGTGTTGAGTCAGAGTTTTCCAGCCATATAAGGCAGTCCTGCATGTTCAGCGGTCTTTGTGTAAGCACCAGACATTCGCATTCACCCTTTGACTTTCGTGTGGAACACCTCTGCCTTGTGAAGGCAATGAGGAGAACTTATCTCACAGAGAGTATGTACGTGTAGCAACATGAGATTATTTCGATAGGAAGACATAATTTCGACCATACTATGTGGTTAATGAGGAGCTTACCAAACAAAGGATTTATCATTACACTAGGTTAGTTCCAGTCTGTGAAGCTGTTTCACAGGTTGAGCAAAAATCAGCCAACACCGGAATAATTTGGCAGGATGAACTTTATGTTTAAGCTTTCAGTTTATAAAAATATTTGGCATAGTCATAGAGGTTGAATCAGTTTATTAAATCTGAAATAATCATAAATTTTAAAGCTACAAACAGCCTATGTGATATTGTTACTTTCAGGAAAATGCAAAAACTTATTATTCCAGAGACGGTCTCAGCAAAGAAACTTTTCTTTTAAACGGAGTCATCGACTGGACTTTACATTCGTGTCTTTATAATAAATGTGTGAGGAAGTTTTAGAATTATTTCCGGTCGAAGGTTAAATTAATAAAAATTCAAAGTGTAATAAACAGGAAGATATATTACCAGTGTGCGTCGGTGATATAGCGGTTAGGACGCTCGCCGACCATGCATATGGTTCAGGGTTCGATCCCCGACTGACGCACTCCTTTTACCTCGCTAAGCCAGAGGAAAGGTTGGACATGAGGCTAGCAACCCCATCCTGTAAAATAAACACTGCTTCAGAAACTTCAAGCCAGTCGCTTGAAGCCCTATGTTCCAATGGGAACGTGAAGGAAAAAACATATATTACTAGTAACAGAACACCTGGCGAATTAAAGATATTCAGCTGCATTTGAAAGGTCTTTCAAAGTCATATTCGAGATTAGATCAAACCTATCAAAGGGGGTGAAGTGAGTGCCCCTAGGAATAACTGAGGCGCCAGTTATCCAAAAGTTCAAGCCCACTTTGTGCATTCAAAAGAAATACATCCAACAGTTGTCCCTACCATGGCCATCATGAACAGTCAGTTCTCTCAATGATGAATATCCTATTGCCCTTCTTATTCAATCTTCCTGTTTATTTCTGTTATTTTTACGGCATTTTATTCCTACTTGCATCACTATGTTTTGATCCAAACTTCCTGCATTTTTCGTTTTTACTACATCCTTGGTCCGTAATTGTGCAAACAGTCAAGTTTTTCAGTTGTTATGATCTTATATGTCTCTTCTGCCTGATTTTCTAGATTAGCACACTTTGTAATTTTATTAGTTAAACCTTTGACCAGAAATAATTCTGGAATTTCTCACACATTTACTATGAAGAAAAGTATAAAATGAGAGTTTCGAAATTGTGTGATTATAACTGGTATGATTGTGAACAATAAATTGTGTTCGTAACGTCATCCAAGAAATAATATTGTTTCACTGTGTGGTATATCTAATAAACAAATTAATATGAAATTACATACTTCAACAGTTAACTGGTGTACGGTGACTATCAGGGGAATCCAAGATTCGCATTTCGTCCTACTCGAGACTCATCATCTGGGTGTACTTGCATTCTCCATTGAGTGATGATGCTCCCGCCAAGGCTGAAACCCAGTGCCTATAGTTTCAAACGCCAAAGAGCTATTCACTAGACCACTTGGGTCGTGAGGGTCACCTCTTATGCAAGGGGTTATATTAATTATATAATTCAATTTTAGATTTTTCCGTCAACAGGAACATCATCACTCACTGAGGAATACAGGCAAATCCAGATGACGGGTCCAAAATAGGACAAAATGTGCATCCTGGATTCCACCACTCAACTCCTAATTACATGCCCAGACATCCTCGAAGCATCTACACAAGAAGCCGACTTGTCAACCTGTGACTGAGCACTTCTGTCCAATCAATCGATTTAAAAATCTAAAACTGAACAAAATACTTCCACAGTGTCAACGTTTTGGACAAATATTAAGACATTTACTGTAAATACACTAATGTGCAGTCTACTTGATGACTTTGTCAAAAAAAAAAGATTCGCTGCAACTTTATATCCAAAAGGTTGTCAATTTTGATGTTTATATGGAATCTCAAGTTGATAACTTTATCACCAGTCATCATGTAATACAATTTGAAAATGTAATGTTATTTCATTGGCAAATTTAAAATAATGGTCTTAAGAATAGTTGATAATAATAACTTGCTTTATTCCAAAACAGTACTTGTGATACAGAATGGAATTCTCAGCACTTCACTACAGTATTGCATCCAGTTAGTACATTAACAATAAATAAAGTTCTACATAGATCAAGGGTGATCTCAGTTAGTTATGACAACAACATATTGGCATGTCGGTAGCAAAGCCAAAATTAAAGTGTTTGAAGGTGTTAGAAAAGTAGTTGCTAGCATACTTACTGGCGTAAGCGGTAACAAAAGGTCGAGATATTATAGAGTATGAGAGAACGAAGAATGTTTTAATTAGAGTTTGTAAGGAAAAGAGAAACAAAGCAGCATATAACAGACAAAAGAGTAGAGAAAAGGAAAAGAAAGAAAGAAAAAACTTTGTACTTATAAATGAAATGAGTTGTAAAGACGAGATCCAGTTGTTCTACTGACTATTTAATAAGTTATAAGTTTCACGCCCAATGCTTTCTTTATCGCACGAAACACGAGCTAAGTAGGGTATGGTTGAGTTTTTGTATTTACTAGTGCGAGCATATAGATTTCTATATAGGCTTCGGGTCCTGCCTGATGAGATACAAGGGAAGAGTTGTGAATGAAGAGGGTGTTGTGAGTTAGATAAAATGGATTTAGCCCATTTTTCACATGAGTCCATGTGCCTGTCGACCAGAATATTAACGAGCTGGTTAAGTGGCACGTAGCTTACCCTGCTGACAACCTTTAACATCCTGCGTAATAAGGTATAGTCTTTCTTCAGAAGCCCAGGAAAAACTAAGGGGGAACAATATAGAATAATAGGCAGGATGCAGGAGTTAACGAATCGTAGGAGTAAGGGTTGGGCTGGGTTAATCCAGAATATTTTAACTTCTTGATGTAGAAGGTAAGACGCAATATTTTTTTAGAAAACATCAAGATATGAGATGACAGGAAAGATCAGCAGATAGAATAACTCCAAGATATTTAATTCCTGACTTGGTCTCTATTTTAGTGCCATCTATATTGCACACCTCGTGAATGCTAACCAGTTTGTTTAGGTCAGATTTATGCCCCAAAGGTGAAACTGACTCTTTGGCATTTAGAGGGATTTAAGGTTAAACCGTTTTCCTTGGACCACTGGCTGATTTCTGATAAAAAGCCATTTGGTTTGTAGCAGTCGCTTTGACATTTGACAGGCAAAGATACAGTCACATCGTCAGCATATTTAAAAACGTTAATGTCATTTGAAGATGGTAAGTCATGTAGAAATAAAGAAAAGAGAAGTGAGGATGTGTACGTAATGCTTTATCCTAGCATTAAACATAACAGTTTACGTATATTTGTACAGTGAATGACAGTCCAGAATAAAACAAATACGAAGGTGAAACTCTACACCGAAACATGTGGGAATTACCGCTTACCACTAAGCTACAAATGTATGTTGGTAGATGGACATGCAAATACTTTTACTCATATATCTCAGTTAGATTAAGTATAAAGACGCATAAAGCATAATCTTGCCTTCTACATAAATATGTAGAAGGCAAGATTATGCTCATACTGATTAAGCTTTCAGGCAAATGAAATATAATTTTATACCATAATAGGTTGATATCACTTTTTCTTTACAATTTTTCGTATTTAGGTAGAGGAAGGCAAACGGGATTGGTTATCTACATGTGAAATTAAAGATATAAATGCATTTCTACCTAACACAAGTGCTTTCGACTCGCTACCTCGAAATATACAACCAGAAGATGAAACATTACTTGTAAGTTTACATTTCCTTCAGCCAGACTGTGTCTCAGTATTCGTCAGTTACAAAACAGACGCAAAATTGTAAATAACTTCAGCCTGAATAGCTCGGCTGGTGATGTCTCTGACTTAAACAATAGACAACGAGGAATCAGATTTCAGCGGAGACATCAGTTCCTTTATACTTATTATGATAATAATAATGTACTTTATTCCAAAACAGTACTTATAATACAAAATGAAATTCTCAGCATTTGTCACAATATTGCATCTGATTTACTCAAAATATAAATAAAATTAAAAATTAAAACAAAATTAACCAGAGGAATTAATCCACATTTACGGCATAAAGTCAAAAATATTCGGAGTACGAATCGGGAATATTACATATAATAGTAATAATAATAATAACAGTGAGTTTGTTTCAAACACAAACGGCGATTCAGTTTGAAAAAGTTACCATGTTATAGAATATTGAATCTAATGTTCTGCTGATATAGTACGGTGAGGGGAAATACAAAATTACCAAGCTGTGTTATAACACAGTTTACATGATGTTCACACTTATCAAAAAATAAACAAATAAAAAACGAAAATTGAAAGGATTATAAATATAAGAAGTACAATAACAATAAAAATGGATTTCGCCAGGGTGGAGGAAAAGGTTTATTTAACAGTGCAAAGAAGGTTAGTTAGTTCATGCCTGAAACTATTTTCACCACACAAAGTACGTGCCAAAAATAGTATAGTGCAATGTTTGTACTAAGACGTACGTGCACAAAGTCTTCTGAAAAGACTTCTTGTTTTACCTGAGGAGACACAAGATTGGAGCTGCGGATAAAGTAGGTGCTCACAGTCTGGCAAAGTTCCTATAGAAAATTTGTTGCATAACATCAAGTGCCTATCAATGACGATGTCAACAATATGGCCCAATGGGGTACCACTCGCCTTACTGACATTTTTCATAGTTCTACGAAGTATGATATAGTCTTTTTTAGGCAATCCAGGAAAGAATAAGGGTGAACAGTAAAGAAGAATAGGTAAGATGCACGAGTTGACAAACTGTAAGAGGAGGAGTTGGGTTATGCCCGAGTGTCTTAATTTCTTAATGTAACAAGTCAGACGAAATATTCGTTTAGAAATCACTAAGACATGGGAAGACCAGGATAGGTCAGAAGGAAGAATTAATCCCAGATACTTAACTTCAGACTTGATTTCTCTACCATTTTTATCAATTTTGCAACGGTCATAGGAACCAAAAGCTTCATTTAACTTTCTTTTACATCGGAAACTGAAATTAACAATATGACATTTGAAGTGATTTTAAGATCATTAGACGAAGACCATTAGCTAACTTATGACAGAAAGCTGTCCATCTTAGTACAGTCTAGTTGAGAGTTAATAGACACTGAAATAGTTAGGTCGTCCGCATACTTAACAAAGTTTATTTTATCAGAGTGAGGCTAGTCATGCAAGAAGAAAGAAAACAGAAAAGAAGAAACGACAGATCCTTGAGGAACATCAGCCTCCCTAAGTGATGAAGTGGACGACTTTCCCTGACACACGGTGAATTCATCAGTAAAGTGACACAAAATTGTTTAACAATGACAGCTTTAAACATGCAGCTTTAAAGCGTTAGTATTTAACAACTATTGTGAGAAAAAAAGTTATTAAATTGCCGTCTGTACTTACCCAGCACGTGAACAAGGTAGCCTCTTAATGGTGTTTAAAAGCGTGTTATTTCTTCTTTGCTTTCAAGTACATCTATTTAATGTAATTTTACCCTTGAGAAAGTCTTATTTGGGATGTTGAAATTTTATTGAATGAATTATCTTGTTTTTTATATAAGTACTTTTAAATAGATGCTGTTCTAATGCTTCATTAACAGAGCAAAAAATGATAATTAACTCTGAATGCACTGAAAATATATTTATTTTATACATCTTTGTGAATTCTAATCATAAACATGGTGACATTTTCATCGTTATGACCACCCAGTAAATGACATTATCACAGTAATATATAATGATAAATTCAGAAGACACTGTCAATGACTTTAAGTATTTTCTTAAATCAAAATTCTGTTAACTTCAAATCATTCATGTTTCCTATTTTAAGCGTTTTAGAAAAGTTGAGCTTAATGTTAGATTCCAAAAGCACACTTAGTTACATAATTCTGTGGATTTTGAGAAGGTTCAAATAACCTTAACAATATCAGAGAGAAGAAAGAGAACACGAAGTTAAGCAAAGATATCTTTTCAGCAATTTCGTTTTCAAAAGTTGTACAATCGCATTTAAATACGTAAATTAACGTAGATAAATTTTTTTTGATTCCACATAATTATGAAGGCGAATGAAGGTGACACTTATTTTCAACTTGATATGAATTACGAGAGGTTTGGAAACAAAAATTACACGGAATTAGAAGGAATTACAAGTGTGTAGAAAATGAGCAAGAAAACAAATTGAAATAATAATTTTCGACATAAGATGGAAGTTAGGAGGTGTGAATATAGATTACAATAGCCTTAAAAACAAAAATTACACAGGATTAGGGTTTAATTGTAAAAAAGTTATTTTAAACGAATTATAAATGTGAGCAGGAAAAGCCTCGTAAAAAACTTAAAATCACTGTTCTTATAACTGAAAAAATGGCATGAATTGAATGAAGACAAAGAGAGAAGAATTACACACACAGCCAACGAAAACGAATCAAAATTAACGGAAGCTAAGGGGAACACCGAACTAGGCCCGTGGTAGTTTTAGAGGTTGGACTAATTTCTATTGAACACACAGCTCGGGCTTTTCGATACATATTGCGAGGGCTTCTGCAGTACGCAGAAGTCGGAAACATACTGATTTTGGTAGGTATCTGTTTACTTTGTCATCTATATATTATATATTCATGTAATCTATATTCACACCTCCTAACTTCCATCTCATGTCGAAAATTATTATTTCAATTTGTTTCCATGCTCATTTTCTATACATCTGTGACTCGTTGTAATCCTGTGTAATTTTGTTTCTAAGCCGCTCGTAAACTATATGCAGTTGAAAATAATTGTAACCTTTTATTAGCCTTCGTAACTATGTGGAATCAAGTAAAAAAAACTGTATCTATGTAAATTTATGTATTTAAATGCGATTGTACAGCTTTTGAAAATGAAACTGCTGAATAGATATCTTTAATGTACTTCGTGTTCTCTTCTTTTAAAGGTTAAAATATGCATAAATAAATGCACCCTTTCATCCCTGAATTGTTTTATTTAGTAATACAAACCCATTAAAGTGATGCAATCTATCAGCTTTCAGGAGAGGCTTCTAGGAGAGAAAACTTATTGTAAGTCAATAGCTCTCTCTTTCAAGTTAATGTATTTCGAAAACACCTGGTAAGAACAACGGAATTAAAAGAGCATTGGTGAGGTGCCTCTTATTATTAAGATTAAAGGAATATCCACCGAAGATACCCTTGAAGATGTGGAGAGAATATCAACTGAAACTGTGGTTGTGATAACTATTGTCCAGATTGGTTCACAGGGAGATATAAAGTCTTTAGAACAGCAAGATCTATTCTCTAACTTACTGATGAGAAGGATGTTTATACTAAGCTACTCTACATTGTTGATAAAAGGAGCTTGCTTAATAGACAAGGACTGAACATAGTATTTAAAAAGACTTTTTTATTTGGTTAAGATTGGAATAATTGGAATGTGAAATCTCTTTATCCATCTGTGCTCTTGCAGCACACTGAAAATAATGTCATATTCCACTGTATCTATCCATTTAATTGGATTTGTGTTCACGCATAAAGTAGAGGCTTCAAAGCCAATGGAAATTCCCTGAACTCATGGAAGCAGACGTTCTAGCTCTTCTATTGTGAAACAGGATATGGAGATGGGAAACAAAATTTTTTCACCTCAACTAAACTTATCCATAAGACGTGATTTAAATATATCCCAAGGTTTGATGGAACCTCAGTAGTTAGGAAGTTTAGATTACCTTCACCTGTTAAAAAGCCATTCGTCATCACCCTAAACCTTCCTCGGTAAGCTTTGTTTTAATACCAGGGCAGAGGCACTATTATCTCCCGTCACTGATTTATTGATCTTCACTAATATTTTAACCTTCAACAAAGCCTTTTATCATCACATATATCTATTCTCTGAGCTCTTAAAGTACTTTTATTTTCACATGCATTCTTATGACAAGTATACGCGTGATGTCATCGTTAAAAGTGTTGTGATCAAATACATAACACGATTCAGACAAATTGCGTTTTATTGAGGTTTATTAAAGGAACAATTTTTCTGAGAATTTATTTAGTTGCGTTGAAGATCTTTAACCGTTTAAGAATTACCAAACTTCTTGTATTACTGCTCAGTTGCTTTGTCACTATTTGGGACTCTTCGGCAGTTCACACAAACTGCCTATTTGAGGACTGAATTTAGAACTTTTAGGTAGCTCGCTCGACCTGTCAATCTCTGTGCAAATGAACTGGAATCTAGCTACTTATACAGTCTAACTGTTGTCGATTAGCAATGTAACTTTGATTAGCTAAAATCTCTGCAAACCAAAAAAATGATGTCCAATGACGAAAATACATGATCAAGTGGCTTCAGATAAAGAAATCTCTTACAACAGTTAAAATAGACAAGCTATTTAATCCCAAATCAACAATTTAGTGATTATTTGACTAAATCATACAGTCGAATTGCTAATCACGTTTCATTTGAATCAGACTAACGCCTATTTGTCATTAAAGTTTGTATCAAAAATAATTCACTTATCGCAATTATTTCTAGTGCTCAGTCAACAAACATGTTTTGTTGATGACTGCAAATCATAAACTCTATTGTGAAAAAAATTATCTATGCATGTTTCTGCTGGGTTTTTTTTCTGCTAACACAATTTTTTTTCCGGTTCTTCGACATATGGAAGTTGTTTGATAAAGTCTACTGTCAAATTGTCTTATCATTCATCTTTGGGTGGTCTGAGTAAATATTGACACCAATTCTCATAATTTCCTACGCACAATTAAATGTGTATACCTACCGCATATAATAAATCAAAACATCAGAAAATATTTTCATGTGTGATAGTGGTCGTCTAAACACAAATTGTCGACAATTAAACAAGGTTTCTGTAAGTAATAATTAACATTATCCCTGTGACCAACACCATTTCTCAAAAGCAGGAAAAACGGTTATATGAAAAGATCTGTGTTACGCTGTAAGACACAGCTGAAAGTCATTTAGAAGTATTCTACAAAAAGCAAAGCTGTTGCGAATTAATCATTATTCTATCATAAAGAAGTACTGGGATTCAAATTAAGTGGTAAAGCTAACCTCTGCATGTCAAACCATTATATTGAATAAAGTTGTCAGCTCTGAAATTAACTTGCTTCCCATGTTTCATTTTAAATTCCTGACCAAATTCGCTCAAGAAAAACGTTAGATTTTCATGTGTCGATTTAAAGATAGTTGAGTGATTACAGGTTTGACCAAGAGCTGACAACATTTATAAAACGACTGGAAAATCAGTGAGTACTGGATAGATGTTTCGTCCTGATTTGGAGTGCATCCGCAAGTGGTTCTCTAAATAGTGTTAACTTGTGATCAAAACTGATCAATTTTAGATCTCGACTAGATCGAATTTATACGTAATAGCTGATAAATGGTCTCTTATGTCTGTAAGCAACTATTCTTTTTGTATGCCTACTGAACGATATCTGTCGATTCTGTCGCAGTGTTTATACCAGAAATACCATAGGGCCCAATATCGTCTACTGTCCCACCTAATACTGATAAGATCCACGTTACTAGTCATAGCTGAAGGTAGTTTAGTTTTTTATAGTTTGGTTTGTAAGGGTTAGTTTTGTTTTTACGAGTTGATCACGGATTGATATCATTTAGAGGACCATTGAAAATCAGGAAGTACTAGACAGCTGTTTCACCCTAGGTTTTGGGAATCATCGGCAGAACGCACCCACTGGAGTTCAAACCCAGAACCTTCCGGTTACAAAGCAAGCTCGTTTACCATTCAGCCTCTACGACCCGGCTCAATGGCTCATGAATTCTGAACTCTAAGAATTCGTGATTTAGCGTGATCCCAACCAATGTCATCGGTGGCAACTCCATTCTCACACATGGCATCTGGATGGACCTCACTGGTCATGACTTCTCACTAGAACTCTAGGAAACTTCATCCTGTAACAAGTCACTAGAGAGCACCAGATTAATTTTCTACAGTTTGGTATACGAGATCGTCTTGTAACCGGAATGTCCTCGGTTTGAACTCCAGTGGGTGCGTACTGCCGGTGATTCCCAAGCACCTGGGTGAAACAGCTGTCCATAATACTCTCTGTTTTTCAATGGTTCTCTAACTGATGTCAATCTGTGATCAACGAGTAAAAAGAAGGTAGTTTCGCTTAAGCGTTTCTTTAGGGAAAATACGGTTCTTATCTTCAACCTGTTTTTTCGGTGATCATAAGGATATGTTGATATAGTTTCAAAATGACATTTATACTACATAAGACGAGTTTGTTTGCAGTTCGAAAACTAACCACAGTCATACTTCATCCTTTATATTCTTTTTTCTATTTTAGTGTACATTAAGCATGTTTCATGATCTGGATTTAATTAGTCGTTGGCGAATTTCACGACGTAAACTAGCTCAGTTCATCTTGATGGTTCATCGTGGCTATCGAGATCCAGCATATCATAATTGGATGCATGCATTTTCTGTTGCACATTTTGTTTACGTTTGTATTAAAAATTTACCCTTAGCAAATGATCAACTAGAGCATATTGAAATTTTAGCATTATTTGTTGCATCATTATGTCATGATATTGATCATCGTGGAACAAATAACAGTTTTCAGGTGAGAACGAAAGATTCTCCAGCAAGTTTTTGAAATTATTGGAATATAAATATTTTTTTAGCATTGGACATCATTGATTCAATCTCTGAAGTCTGAGGCAATGATTATTTTATCTGATCTTGGCAGGGTGCTTGCATGTATGTCTGTCTAATCAATACTTTTGTCCCTAATACTCTGGAAATAAATTTGAGTGTATATTGATGTCTTGTGATTCATGAGAGCATAGATATTATCAAGCTTGGGTAATTCACTCATATAATTAATTATTTATAAATGCACAATTCTGACTGAACACTAGCCAGTAACTCGTGTAATGTGTCTAGTCCTATCTTTCGGTGAGGACTGAATTCTGTCAATCAAGTTTGTAATGTGACCATCATGCTTGGTAGCTCGCCATCACGATGCACTGTTAGATTTTGGCATTACATGGTTGGAGGCAATCAACAGGAAGACTTCAACCTAGCTTTCGTGCTAGCTGGCACTCATCAGCATGGTGTATCTGCAACCTTGAAGAAACTCATGTCCCTTCTGAGTTTCTGACGAACAATAGCTAGTACGAAACCTAGGTTCAAGGTTTCTTTCCGATTGTCTCCAACCATTTAATATGAACACATGAGTCACCAAAAAGATCGCTTTTGGTAACGTTACATCTAAGCTAAACAGCAATTTACAGGTTTATATCTACAATTTTGGTTGGTAATAAAGATCTGAAGTTATCATCAGTTAGTAACAACATAAATAAAAATATGTGAGAAATAATACTTGTTCAGTAACCTAAATGAACGAAATCTTACAAAGTTCTATGAACGAGTAATTTCATTCGAGTAAATTCTTTTCAGAGATAAGTGATCATGTCTTATGTATTCGCGAGATTTCTCTGTTACGCATACGACAATTGCAAGGAAAATATGTGTGAATTCAACTAATGTTGAGCGATTTCTTTGTTGTTAAGTACAGCAGAATTTAGAATTTCAAGGAATCTGTTTGCTATAAAGGAATGTGAATGATTTGTTGGCTTTTGTCTATCTTGACCAAATTTAGCCTTCGGACAACTGATCACTTGAAAATATTTCCAACACTGGGATAGAAACAGAAGTCAGATTTAACTGTGATAATTGCAACAATGACTTTATTATACGCAGAGTAAAGAGTATGCATCGTTTACACATCAACAAAAGTTGAAACCATTAATCACTGGCCAATGTCTGACTTTAAGGCTAACAATAATAATCTGTCCTTCCTAAAACTATTCAACCAAGTGTTTCAGTTTATAGTCAATATATATATATAACAAAATGAAATAGTAAAATTTATTACATGGTAACATTTGAACAAAATTTAGGATACTGATCTTGTCAACTGTAACTACGCAACCTCAAAACTTGATTTTGAAAGTTCTCTTTGCCCCTTCCCAGTCGTCGCAGAGGTAGTAGAATATTTCTGATATCTTGGATAGGCGTTGAGCCAATCCTAATTACACACGTTACTATTTGAATCGGCAAATAAAACTTTTGTTAACAATGTCTTCTGGCATCTTGTTACATTAAGTATTAATACTGTCACTCTGTCCAACCCTGTAGGGTGGTTGCATATAACTATGTTTAATGCGCCAGCTTAGACTTATTCTAAATTTCTTAGATCTGATTAGAGTTTTCCCATCCAGTTGACTCCAGTCTTCTACTAGGTCATACATATTTGACCTCTAAATCATTGACAGATATTAGATAAAATAAATTATGTCTACTGGCTTCCACAGGATCCTTTGACCTACATGATTTCTTTTAAAGTGAGCTTATGACTTAAAGTCCAACATTTATTTCTGCTTCCCGACATCTGATAAACTCTATTTTAGCTACACCGAATGGAAAAAATTAAAAAGAACCATACATTTTGAGTTTCGAAGTTGTGTAGTTAGAATTTATATAGTTAACAACAAAGAGTTGTGTTCGGACCGTCATCCAATATATTTTGTTTTCTTACCATGTGATGCATTCAGTAAAGAAATAATCAGTTTAGACACAGATATCCATCAATTTATATCGAGGAGGGGTGAGACAACGTTATTAATTACTGATACAATATTTAGAATTTTAATGTAAATAGTTTTCCATATATATATTAAGTAAATTATAAGGTATTTCTGAGAACTTTCATTAACTGGATATTAAACACTTACAATATACCTGAACCATACATCTCTTTCCATGCATGTATATCATACATATCAAAAAATGCAGTCTAAATCTATCCTCATGTAACGAAATACTAGTTTTATATTTGCGTCAAGGATAGTCATGGAAACAGTAGGAGTTAAAACTTAAATTAAAGAGAATACTTTTAAACAGCGCAAATGACCTCCTTACGTGCATGTCGTTAATTCCCCACTGTTTACCATCATTTATGGAGCATTCAAAGTCTGAAGACAATCATACGTCTAGCACGCCATGCACACGACGGTAACCCGAATGAGAAATAACGAATTAGGTGTGAGGACAACAGGGGATGGTTTGAAATGGAAATGTTCTGTTGTCACTTCAAATTCCACTCAGAACTTAAAGAAATAATGATAATAGCAATGTATTTGGCTTTAATTCATAATGTAATCCATTTGTTTGTGCTAAGCAGAATAAGAGTTTTGTAAGCGATCACTGTGTCACTGGCATATCACCACATCCATCTTAGATTAAAGTTCAGCTTTTTATTTTTTTGTAATACTTTTTACAGTTGCAACAACTTTTGTCAATTTTAAAATGAAACTTAAACTTAATTTTAAACTTACAGGTTCAGTCAAAATCTGTCCTAGCAGCTTTGTACAGTTCAGAAGGATCAGTTCTTGAACGACATCATTTTTCTCAAACTATTTGTGTACTTAACACAGAAGGATGCAATATTTTTGAAAATGTTTCAAAAGAAGTGAGTATACCTGAAATTTTGATTGAACTAGTATTTTTTTTTAATATTCAGCTTGAAAAAGAAGACGTTTTTAAATATTTCGCCTATAAACCACTCCAGGAAAAATTTTGATTTAAATAAGTTGTTACATTTTAAGTCGAAACTGATGTACATGAATTTCAGTTTAAGTTTGAAAATGCCCACTGGTCATTTAATCATCTTTTAATCCTATAGATCAGGAGGGAGCAAAATCAATCGTAATATGCAGATGATTCTGCTTTTCATCTCACACAATAATTATTGCATGTAGTTTTTCACACTTCAGTTAGAGTTCTGCTAGTTTCCTGTTTTCGATGTCCTAAAAGTGAGTCGCAGTAAGTCCTGGACGTTTGGATTTGTCCGGTTTCAATCCTTACTTCTGATTACTGACTCACAATTTCAAATAATCTCAGAAAACATCTGAAATGTAGTAATGAATGAATAAACATCATCTGTATTTTGTTACGCCAACTGTGATAGCTGGTGTAGTCAACAGTTTGATCACACTCAACCATGGTCATTTATTGGAGTGAATGTCGACATACGCGGTAACAAACTCCGCGGACAATATTTCAGAAGTTTTAGCAAAGATCATTTTGGAAACGGAGATGAAGAGTATTCAGTATTAATAACAATAATATTAATAATGGTAATCATATTAATATTTATGACGACACCAACAATAAGGAAACAAAATCATCAGTAGTAATTCAATAAAAGGAAGGAACCTCGGAAACCTCACGCAGAGTTCTTAACAATGCAGGTAGGAATAATAGAGGCATTCAAACACACAAACTCAATTAGAGACAACCTTTATCAGTTAAAGGATCCTGTAGAGCCTTTACAACAAAACAATTTAGTTTATCTAATACCCTGCCTGAGATGATTGTCAGGTCAAATACATAGGTCAAACTAGTAGAATGGGGGAGTCAGACTAGCCGAACATAAAAACCTAGCAAAATATAGATTGGTTGGCCCAATTAGGATAAGAAATCTAGAGAATAGCATTACATGAAATCACCCACAACCATACAATAGGATGGGATACCATGACAATTTTAAAATCTAAAGTCACAGGATGTAGGGAGAGATTGATAATAGAAGCTATGTTTATCGAGTCAACTGCAAATACATGCAACAGGAATGATTCAACACCTGTCCCTGATACCTGGAAAATTCTACTACTCCTGCGACAAATCGGAGAAAACCAAGATTACTATAAGACTCAAGTTTCGAAGTCGTGTGACTACAATTGATATGATTATGAACAATAAAGTTTGTTCGAAATGTCATCCAGTAAATACCAATACTGTTTCACTGTGTGATACATCTAATAAACAAACTTATATGGAATTATACGGTATTATGACATTCCAATGCATGATTAATAAGTATACACAGTATGCTTATACATTCACCGCACAATAAAAAAGGAATCTTTCAAAGAGCTATCCCAGCCTTAAATGAATTTTTAAAAATACAAAATTCTTTTCTAAGAAAGTAGAATATTTTTTGATGATATTCAACATCGACAAACATTGATAAAATTGTCATATCAAATAAAATAATATTTGTTACAAAATGCTTAGTGAATATATCAAATGAGATATTATCTGTTAATTCCATAAAACGCCTACTAAATTATTTAAAGTAGAAAATGCAAAACTTAAAAAATGCTCTAACTTCTCTAGTACGCTTAAAATGAAACCTATACTCAGTACACGAACAATGTTTAGAGAAGAATCAATCATTACTATCCTCGATGTTCAACCTGAATGATGAAATTCAACATGGTGTACTTAAAAAAGATACAGTCATAAATTAATAGTTATCGCAACATCACAAAAATAATCGATAAATTAAAAAAGAAATTAGAACGGATTCATCCTCAACATTCTACTTCATTCTATTCTTTGCGATAAATACACACAAAATGTATCGAAATCACAGATTTTGGTGAAATACCTTCCCTCTGGATAGATGTTCATATATTTATATACACCAAAAGCTTGGAGAGAAGTGTATTTTTAGGCTAAATTGCACACAAAATTTAAAACAATTATTTTAGTACTTAGCGTTCCCAGTGAAACATAGGGCTTCAAGCTAGACACTTTTACGGGATAGGATCGCTAGTCCCATGACCAACCTTCCTTCTTCAACAGTCTTAATAATGGCAAAGCGAGGTTTTGGAGTGCGTCGGTCAATGATCGGACCCCGGTCCACACGCGTGGTCGGCGAGCATTCTACCTCTGTGACACCGACGCACTTAAAACGCTTAGTCCCTTTTATAAATTTGGATATTTTTATTAGAAGACGGAGATTATCCAAAAGTGATGTAATGTACTTGCTTAATCCATTTTGAACAATCTGATCGCATATTTTCTAGTCAAATCTGTTTATAAGAAATATAAAGGCCAAATGAAATATATGAAGTGACAAAAAAGAATTTAAGTTTAATACGGATAGTTAAGACAGCGTCCAGTCATGTAATCATATAAGGATTAACAAGGTTGGTTTAAGAGCAATAACAAACTGCCTTTATGTACACAGAAGGGCTGACCTAATTTTAGACTTCACTTCAGCGTTTGTATAAATGCTGCCGAGACATATTTTGATATCAAACCTGTGATTCATATCATTTAAGCGTTTTGTTATAGACGAAGTTGGTAGTTTGCCACCTGAGTTTATCAAGGCTTCAGAGTTCATGTACTCCTCATGCCATTTGAGTATATGTTCCCCCAATTCATGAGTAAAGCGCCACTATTGACTATGTATGTGTGACCACAAAGACTCACATGCAAACTCGTGCATAACACAGAATGTGACATAATCCCTTGTGTAATGTTGAAGCTTCCGGCAAAGCATGCTTTCGCTTTTTCGCTAAATATAAAGTGGAGTGCTTAGTGTCTTTTGCTGATGACCGAATTTAACCTTCGCCCTAAAATCTTACAATTTATTTCTTCATTGTAAGGCGATTTAATATAGAGATCTTTCTTTGAGATTAAATAAATTTAAAAGGGATACTTCCTTCGCATAAGGGTTAAAACTACCGCCAAGCTTATTACTATTCAGCTTCATCAGTCTGGTATTAATACGGAAATACGTGTCCAGCTTGACAAAACAGCAAAGTAGTAAGACCCCCCCCCTCAAGAAGGCCCCTGGGCATTTTCTGAATCCCTTGTGCTCGCTTGAAACATGTTCATATAGATCTGGTTGAACCCTTCTCAGAATATTACGCATATATTCATATCTAAACCTGAATAGACTGTTTTGCACAGTCACCTGAGGCAGTCTTCCTCGAGGACTCATCTGCTGAAACAGCCACACGCATTTTTGTGGGATGATGGATCACAAATATTTCATGCCCATATTCCATAGTGATTCATCGCGGGTGGTAATTCAAAATTCACTCATTCTTAACTTTGAATAGATTCGTAGGTCGTGCGTGATTCCGAAAAACGGCCTATCATCCTCAAGTAAAGGTGTGGTATAACGTTTAAACTGGAAGTTAAAGACTGAATTATCAACTACAAACGCCATACCTTGAAATAAACCACTACCATGAGTTCTTCTAGGTATATGAAATACCTTGAAAACTGATACTAGTTATATTACTGATGAGCTAGCATATGACACACACGTGAAAACGCTTCATACGTCCATAGACTTACGAACACAACGAATTCAGTTAAGATTGCTCCCCTTAAGTCACAGTCCACAGACGTCTTCGTCCAGCCATGTCTGAAAACTTTACATATATGTCTTCATCATTAATCTGTGAGTCGCCCTCTGGAACCCCATGCAATGGATCGTCTAAAGTCATTGGACGAATAGATAAATTCTTCCTCCTGTTAACGAATAGCTATCGCCTCAGAGCACGCCCTTGACCAGTTTTGCAAATAACCTTAAGAGCTGTTTTGACGTCATTCTTGTGATTCGTATCAGTAAGACGTTTAGTTATAGTCGAAAAACGTAGCCTGCCCCCTGCATCTATCCATTTTTCACACTTCATTTGGGTTTCTAACCACCTGGAAATGTGCTCTTCCGCCCTCATATGCAAAGCACGGCTATTTCTTCTCATGTATGTGTCCGCACGCACGTAAACTCGTACACAGTGCAGAATGTGGCATATTCACGTTTGCACTTTTGAGGTGCTTTTCGATAATTATAGCCTGGGCAGCATAATAGTCCCTAGTGTCTGTCTAAAAATCCTACTATTTATTTCTTAATTGTATGGTAATTTAATGAAGATATCTTTCTTAGGGACAGAACGGGTTATAGGTGTAGAAATTCATACACGAAATAAGCAAATATTATCTTGTCAGACCTCGATTATCCTCTCTATATACAACTCTTTCCTTGCTGTACCTCATCGGGTAGAACTAGGAGCAACTATATAGGAATATATGCTCGGACGACTAAGTATTAAAAGTCTACCATACTTTATTTAAACCTCGCCAGATTACTAGCTTGCTAGGCTAATAGATGACTAGTTTTCTCGCCGGTCCCAAGCCCGGATAAAGAGGGAGGGTTGGGGCGTGGTGCTAGCAACTCCACCCTGTAAAACAACCAAATCGCTACAGAAACTTCAACGAATAAATATATTAAAAATTCTAAAAACATAAGCAATAGCCTTACTTTTCGCTGGAATCGGGGAAGTGAAATGACGCAGGCTGGTGAAAGCCTTCGGGAAGCCAGTCAGCCGATGTGCCTTCTTTCGATGAAAGCAAAAGTAAGGATGGGTACCTGGAATGTTCGTACAATGTACGAAACTGGAAAGGCTGCCCAGATAGCCGCTGAAATGAGAAGGTACAGAATAGAAGTGTTGGGAATCTGCGAAAGCAGATGGAACGGAACTGGAAGGTGCCAACTACCTACTGGAGAGACAGTAATCTATTCCGGCCACCTAGAGGACAACCATGAGCACACCGAGGGAGTGGCCATCATGATGTCACCAACAGCAGCCAAAGCTCTCATGCAGT